ATTAAAGATCGCTTGACCTGGGCTAGACGAGTTCGACCAAGGAACCACTTGAAAAATTTTTACTAGATATATTGGAATAAGATTTCAAACTTCCGCTGATAGAATGAAATGCAATAAATTCAATTTATCAATTTTTAATGACCAATTATATTAAAAAAAGAAGTGTATATAGATGGGAATTATCTGGTAGGCTTAATAAATAATGACCTAAGATGGACGTCCACTGGACATCAAAATACTAATAAACTTAAAATTAAGTCCAAAAACAGACGTTCTCTGGGTATCGATATTCAGCTGTCAAATTAATTTGCATAAACGGACGTATACTGGATGCCTGGATATGGACGTCCTGACTCTCAAATGAATTTAAAATGTACGTCCATTGGACTATGTGTGCTGTCTGGGTATAGACGAATTTTTAGAAATAGTACTTAAGTATGTACCAATATTTTCAAAATCAACTCCAGTATGATTCATTCAATAAATATAAATATGAATGGGCAAAACATCTTTATATTGACATAATTGTAACTTACAATTTAGTCATAATAAAGGGATTTCGCCCACTTTGACCAATCCTAATTGAAACACGCGGATTTATTATATTTTTTTAAATATATTTTAAAATAAAATAAAAAAATTCTGCAGTTCATTGTTTATTAAATTTATTTAAAAGAAGAAACACATATATTTCAGAAAATCTAATGCCTACATATGAAAAATAAAATGTCAAAAATGATTAAAACATTATACTTAATATTTATACATTTGATAAAATTCTTAGTTTCCTAATAACTTTTTTTGAACATCTTATATCTATATTAAAATACCTAAGAGTGAAAAAATCTTCATCTTATTACTACACAAAATTATTTATCTCCCCCCTTCAACCCCTTCGGAGTAAAAGTCACCCCTTTAATTTTTTTAATAGAAAGGAGTAGCGTGTGATACCTCATTTTTAAGGGTTTTTAATTCCCTATTCAGCAGTATAAGATTTTGTTTCTTGTACATTTATATTCACGAAACATCAATTTTCATTTTTAACTATTCTATTAATAATACTACAATTTTATGGTATTAAATGTTCAAAATGACAGCCGGTAACTTCTTGACAATAACCAATGCGATTATTAAATTCTTAAAGAACATCTTGTATGACGTCCGGGCCAATTTTTTCAGTTTCTTCGGTGATTCTTTTAATTCGTCAATAGTCTCCGGTCGATTTAAATACACTTGAGACTTTAAATGATCCCAGAGAAAATAAACAAGCGGCATTAAATCGGGAGATCGAGGTGGCCATTCAATGGCTCCACGCCTGCCAATCCATCTGTTAGGAAATACTTCTTCCAAGTAGTCTCTTACTCCATGTGCAAAATGTGGTGGAGCACCATCTTATTGGAACCAAACATTTCTATCTGTTTCATCTGGATTGTTATTATCAGGATACAGAACTTGTAATTGAGGTACCAAAAAATTTGTTAAAAAATATAAATATCCTTCACCTGTCAGAGAGTCATTAAAAAAGTAAGGCCCAATGATTTTATTTTCAATAATACCACACTACACATTCACTTTTTTAGGAAACTGAGTGTGAGTCTTCATTATCCAATGAGAATTTTCTCTGCTCCAATAACGAGAATTGTGTCGGTTGACAGTACCATTTAAGTAAAACGTTACTTCGTCCGAAAAAAGTATTTTCTGTAAAAACTGCACATCTGCCTCACATCTGTTCATTATTTGTTCACAGAATTGTAGCCTTCGGTCTGGATCGTCCTCAGATAACTCCTGTACCAACCGAATTTTATAGGGATGGTACTTTTCTTTGTGTAAAAAACGCAAAATTGTTGTTTTACTGACGTTGTATTCGGCAGCAAGTTGTCTAGTAGATTTATGCGGATTTTCTTCAAGGGCTATCATAACATCTACTCGTTTATCCTCATCAACTTCAGGGGTTGTTTCTGCGTTACGAACTTGCTTCACATGTCCAGTACTACGAAATTTCTTTGCTACTTTTCTAACTGTAGACTGTGAAATATGTCCTGGATATTTATTATTAAATAATTCACATACCTCCCTATGCGTTCGTTTTCTATTGTCACAACCAAGCATCATAAAATTGAACCAATTAAATAGTATAAATTATAATCGTCAATTGTAAATAAATGTTCCTTGCTTATTCCCTTGTAGTCATGTTTAATGATGTTTTGTTAAAAGTTTGTAATAAAATGGCGTATACTAGCTATTATTCACCCCTACCCCAACTAGAAATAACGGGAAAAAAGCGAAGTTTCGCTTTTTAGCAGTCAACTGAGGGACTACTAGCATATTAAAATGATATTTATTTAGATATGTATATAATTTGAGGGTTAAAATGCTTTTTCATAATTATACGTTTCTACTTATGACATAATTGCACAGTTTTGTACATTCTAGAACCTTCTAACATTAGACTTAATATTCCTAACCCATTCTCTTTTAAAAAGATTCAAGTAGTAATAACACATTATTTTTAAAACTATTCCAAAAGACTCATTATCATACATTATATTCCGAAATTGGTAAAAATTAATCATTTAATAAGGATAATGTCACAAAGCAAGGCAATTAAATTGAATTTTTTTTGTCGTTAATCTTATGACTTTTGTGTATGTAGACTCATATACAGGGTGTTTCCAAATTCATGCGACAAAATTCAGGAGGTGATTGCTCGTATAAAATTAAGATGGATCTTTCCTATAACAAAATTTTTCCATCCCACCCCTTTCCGAGATATCACCCTTAAAAGGTGGTGACTAAAATTGAGTTTTTATTTTTTTTCTAAAATGTATTTTGGCTAGAGGTGGTCATTTCCAGCATTTATTATGAATCGTATTACATTTTACATCTTTACTGTTTTCCACTCAATTTATTTAAAAAATTATAAAAAATTATATATTAGGTGTTTATTTTTTTTCTGTGTAGCTATTGGTTTTGGGAAAAAAATTTAGGAATAAAAAATTTTTTTAAACAAAACAAGGATTTAAAGTTATAATTTTATTTCATAAAACTTCATCTCGAAAAAAAGTTTTGATATGAAATAAAGTAAGGGTTGCTAATTTCACCCCCCTATAATGTAACAGAAATATTGAAAAAATACCCGTGGTTAGTCCTTTGCGAGTGCACGAAAATTACAAAATTTCAAGTGTCTAGCTGTACTGAACTTTTAGAAAAAAAAAATAAAAACTCAATTTTAGTCACCACCTTTTAAGGGTGATATCTCGGAAAGGGATGGGCTGAGGAAATTTTGTTATAGGAAAGACCCATCTTAATTTCATACGAGCAAGCACTTCCTGTCGCATAAATTTAGAAACACCCTGTATATCTGCTCATAGCCCATTTTATGTTCAGGTTTAAGGATCTGGAGTATATTATTTTATGTTTAGGTTTAAGGATCTGGAGTATATTCTACATCTTGAACGTTGTTTTGCTTTAAAACCGTCGTACACCTGCCACTTCTGGCTATTTCATTTGTTTTGTTATAACTTCATATAGCCTATGAAAGATATATCTCGGTGACATGGAGACCATGTTAGCTTGAAGGAGTGGGAGCGTATCGACCACCTCCTACCAAAAGGACGTTTTGCGTCACCATATCAGGTTCTTAGGTCCTCATATCAGATGATTTGGCAAAATTAATATTACCTATTAGGCATACCAAACAAAATGGTTGCATGTGGGCCTGATGGATTTGACAAGGTCACTGATATACATAGTTGTATAGATTGTATGTATTGAATAGATTGACCAACAAAAAACATAAATGTAGGTAATTTCTTTTTTTACTATATTCAAAGGCTCAAATTTGGTTTTAAAATACATTTTTGGTCAATCGGTTCTGATTAATAAGCACTTGCGAGGCAATCATAGATATATAACCAAGACATATAGGATTGTTTACAAAATTTCTGAATCCAACACGTATTCACAATCTGAGCTTCCGTGGCAGAAATGCAATATTCTGATTGAACATTGCATCCAAGTTTACGGAGTTCTTTAGTAATAGATACAAAATATGAAATCTAACTACCGCGCAGTAAGAAAATCGATAATTTTAGTAGTAGTAAATCTGGTTTTTCATTCATAATTTTACAGATTTAAACTCAACGTGTTTATCGCATAGGCGTACACAAATTTAAATATCAAAAACGTAGGTATTTGCAGTAAATTATTTGAAGATTTAAATTTAACGATTTACTTTAAAATTGTTAAATTAACTATATTGATTGTAAATAATCTAGCGTACTAAGGGGAAAAGCCTTTTTAATGAGTTTTTTTAATGTAATTGCAAATATATTTTTAAATATTTTCTCTAATATTGTGCCTGAAGGAATTGCACTTTTAAGACCAGCGTACATTATGCCTGAATAATTTTTACAATAGTTATACATTTTTAGAAAGTTTAGATATCTCAAAAAAATTGGTACTTGATACACTTTCTGATAAATTTATTAAGGTTTTATATTAAAATGTATGTTGTAATACTTTAATAGTTGTTAACCAAATGGCTGTATCATCCTAGAAATGTAGGTCTATAAATAATGTTTTTATCCAGAATGGTTTACTACATTTTATATGAGTTAAAGCACATTGTTGTCTGTTTGCACTAACCTCTACGCGACGTATAGTATGTCGTGCTGCGAATGACACTGCCAAATGGAAGTTCGTTTGAATTCCACCGTATTTCAATGCCGTATGTCATTCGCAGCACGGCAAACTATACGTCGTGTGCATTTAGCGTTAATCACACAATTCGCACATTTCAAAATTCATGCGCATCAGGATTATGTTCGAAGTCGTCCAAATAGTACGTATTTTAGAAACATGTGAGAGACTTCGCTGGGTGTACAATTCAAAAATCGTGTGGTCTGGATTTATATAAATTGACATCTAATTAGATTGTTCGACATTCATTTTAGAAGATCGTTTTTTTTAAACTGACCAAATTTCCATTTTTTTGACAGGTCAGATTTGTAATGACCGACGAAACCACTTTATCTGATCTGCTTGCACTGAATCTTCATGAGTATGAAGAAGAAGTAAAAAATATCGTAGATAAAGCTGTTAAAGAAATGGCTATGGAAAAAGTTATAAAAGAACTTAATAATACTTGGAATACTATGGAATTCCAATCAGATCTACACGAAAGGACTAAATTGAGGGTATTAATGTTGGCTGAAGAAGTTATAGAAACTTTAGAAGAAAATCAGGTATAATATTAAAAATATAAAATAATCTAGTACTTTTATTATTTTATTTATCGAGGACTAGTTATGAAGTTATAGATAACAATCAAATATTGAGAGAGAATTATAATTTACCTTTGTCATTATGCTTACAGTTTATAAAACAAATTTCAGATTGGCCCCATTGCCATTGATATCAAATAGTCTCTGCTAAAGCCTTCGAAGCTCTACTCCTAGTTGTCAATTTACTCATTGCATAATTAAGAGGGTCCCTTACCAAGGAGGCTTCACTGGGCCCCGCTTCAGCCTCTTTTTCGACCTTTGGCCTTATAGTAAGTGAGGTGAACGCGTAGCTCATCCTCATTGATTTGTTTAGGGTTCCCATGTCTTCGTCTCCGATGCCGAAGACGAAGAGATGGCCCTTGGGGTCTTTTTTTATTTCATGGTGGAAGGTGCACCACTTCGCCACATGTAAGTTTGGGTTTTGCCTCTCAAGTCGCCTGAGCACAATCTCCTTCTCGTCAAGGTCAGCTTGCGCTACCCCTGGGATCCAGAGAGAAGCTTTGGTGAGCTTGGGGAGCTCGTCCATCCTCACAACAGCGAGTGTCGCTCCTTCCCATGTTTTTAAGGTTGGTACCTTGGTTTTTAGCTATTCCAACGTCAGGTCATCGTCGCACGTTACTCTGATGATTCCACCAGAGTGCGTCCAAGACCTGAAGGTGGGTGGCTTGGTTTTGCTGCAGGAGGCGGACAAGATTGTTTTGTCCAGCTCTCCCATCAATGTCTTTTTGACAAGGATTTCTCTTTCGGTAGTTATCTTACCGTAAGGGTTATCGTTGTCTATTATAGTTACTTTCAGGTGGCTCGTAGCTGCATCCTTGTAGCTTAACCCAGACAGAACTTTGTGGTCCTGCCTGGGTTTTGTCCCCTTCCGGGGCGTAACCGCGGAAGAGGTGTGAGATCGCGGCTTTTTCTTGTTCCTAGTTGCGTCGTGTTCCTGGCCTCTTGTGGAGGCAGAACTAGCGTCGCTGTCTAGGGACTTGATTAGGCCGCTTTTTTGTTTGGAGTGAAGGAGTTTGCTGAGGGTGGCGGTTGCCGTAGCACTGCCTGCCTGCAGCTTATCCCTCTTCCTCCTCTTTGCTTCAGACCCAGATATTTTTTTGCCTCTCCGGGGCCTGTTAGTTGGAGGTGAACTACTGTGTCCATCCTCCTTTTTTGAAGGTGGGCGTCGCTGTCCAGCCTCCTGCGCTGGAGCTGAACTTTGTTGTTCAGGCTCCTTTGCAGGAAGTGAGCGTTGACGTCCATCCTCCTTTTTTTGAGGTGATCGTCGCTGTCCAGCCTCCTGCGCCTGAATTTGACTTTGGTGTCCAGTCACCTTTGCTGGAGGTGAGCGTTGACGTCCAGCCTCTTTGGGTTTTTGTGTTTGTTTTTGTGAATCCATATGGTTCCCACGAGTAGCTAGGGAAGAAAAAGTCGACCGACACAGAGCCCCGCATGCGCCGGCAAGGCTAGATACAAGAGGGTTTCACCAGGTTCCTTCAGGGGAGCGTTTGCTGCCGCATATACCCCTGCGACAATTCATTCGTCGGCACGTTACCATACACCTTAGATTGGGGGAGTTGGTTCGCGGCGGTAGCCTTCGCAAAAGATTTTGAAGGTTTTTAGGCTCTTGCACTCTACTTATGTCTACCACTAACCAAGGGAAACTTGACCGTCCTCCTATCCACCACCCGGAGATGCGCTCAGTTGGCACTCAACCGTTGAGTTCCAAGGTACAATCCAAGGATACTTTTTCTTGCGAATGCAACTTGTCATGCTTGTTATTAATCTCTTAGCCATTATATTTTAATGCATGTTGCATCATACCCAAATGTTGTAAAATCTATCTCTTGTGTTAAAAGAAATTACTAAGTATTAGATGCTCTTGTAATAATTTGGCAATTATTTTAATTAATCTAAAGATTTTACATAAAAGTACTTTCATTCATTGACCTTGGAATATTAATAACAATTATTATAATATCAAGGTAAATTAAATATATTAGTTGATCAAAATATCAAAGAAAGCACGTCTCAACTAATATTTAAATTATTTGGGAACGAGGGGAAGACTGACTGAGTGGGCCGGGCGTTATGCTGTCCGACGATTCACCGACGCTACTATAAAGCGTCTTTCGGGAATTTTAAAGTAATTTTGAAAGTAGTGATTTAATAATAAATAAATATCTGCCAACCGATTTTAAACTTAGTGAAATCGAAACTACGTTTCGAGCAAGGTAAGCCTTCCTCTTTCACTATATTAAAATTGTGATAGTTCCCCTTTCATTTGCCAAACTATTTATCTTACCTCTCTTCGTAGATTTTATAGGAAGTGATATAGGCACGTTATTCCACTTATTCTTATAGTAGTTATCGGTATTTTATTATCGTCGACTGATTAACGAATCAGGCGAGAACCTCAGGGTGGATCTTGTACCTCTAAAAATAGGATATTATTTGATTGTTTTTTTCATATTTAAAATTGTTACATGTTTAAATATATTGAGTTGTTAAAACATTCACCTGTTTTTATCTTGTGTGTTACGAGTTGTTGAGTTCCATAAAGAGGAACAACCCCTAGTCCAGCTAAGCTATCTAATCAAATCCAGAGTTCGATAATTGAATAACTTTTCAGGTGTTCCTTTTAATTCTTAACCAACACATACATAACCGTGGAAAATATCCTCATCAGGTCTACCTTCCCCCTTTGTCAAAAGACACTGGGCACTTTGATTTTGCCATTCCCGTGGAGGTGGGTATACAGATCATATTTTAAATGATCATAAGATTGTTCAATATACGTTGAGAATTCAGGTAAGATTTTCTGAATTCGCTGTATGCTGCTGCTTGGATGTCTCAACTAGCTCGTAGTACCGTTCGTAGAATGATATCAGCTCCTTAAATGCCAAATCAAAGTTGTGTCGATCAAATTAAAATCGAACACGCTATACTAAAGTGACCATAATAACTGTTTGTTATTTTTATTATTATTATTATTATTATTATTATTATTATTATTATTATTATTATTATTATTATTATTATTATTATTATTATTATTATTATTATTATTATTATTATTATTATTATTATTATTATTATTATTATTATTATTATTATTATTATTATTATTATTATTATTATTATTATTATTATTATTATTATTATTATTTTTAAAATCATATAAATTTGTATCGTCACTTCAGGTAGCTCTACAGAACATGATGACATCGAAATATATTGATTATTTTATAACTGAAGTTACTGAATGGCAGTTTAAATTAGGAAATACAGATCAAGTTTTAAATGTCTACTTCGAGGTTCAAAGGAAATGGATGTATTTGGAAAGTATTTTCATTGGTTCAGAAGATATAAGAAATCAACTGCCAGACGATTCTAGAAGGTTCGACAAAATCGATAGGGAGTTTAAAGAAGTTTTAAGGGATATAGGAGCAAACTTAAATATTGTGAAAGCTACAAATAAAACAGGATTATATGAAAAATTAGAGGTTTGTTAAGTTATTTTTAGTTTGAATTAAATTTGTGTGCTAAAACTACAGAGGAAACATTTACACCGACTTCGCCGGTTGAAGGCCACATTTAAAAGAACTTCATGTTTGATTGACAATATTAAAGTAATTAATACAGGATGTTTTGCATAAGTACCGACACAGAACAGGTGCGTGTTGGGGTCCCATTGTTATCTGAGTCTCTACTAAAATTTTTCTTTCAGGGTAATTTTTTGTCTAATTTCGATGGACTAATATTTTTACTTTTATTGTACACTACAAAGTACAAATAATTAAATTTTATTAAAAAAATTGCATTCTATGTTCTTTTGAACTTATTGACATTTGCAGAATAGTCCGATTAGCTCCCTTCGTATACGAGTTTCAATTATAAGTTTTTCGTATTTTCCAAAAATAAGGACTATTTCTTATTAAAATATTAATGTGCATACGTAGTTGTTAGTTGTCAAAATAAGGTTACCGTATTTAATAGAGAATTGGCGCGAAAAATAATAGTTAAATTCGAGGGGTGAACCACTCCCGAAAGACTGGTACGTTTTCGTTCGAAATCACCAAAATTCTGTCAAAATTATTATCGAAATCACTTGGAAATGGAAAGAGTTCAAAAACAGGTCGACCAAAAAAAAGTTATTTGAATATTCAAGGAGACAATTTATAGAAAAATGTTATACAATGATTTCGGCGAAACCACCGAAATCATACGAATTTTAGATGATTTCCAAAATACGAGTACCTACGTTTCGAAAATGAAAACCTAATAAAAACAATTTATTTTATACTTCTGACAAAATTAATATTTAATATTTATCTCTTATGTGTCGAAAACAAGTACCTACGGAAAATGTAAAAGTGTTTTACTTATTAACAAATATTGTTTTATTTTTATATTTTAAATGTAAGCTTCTTTATTTCCTATTTCTACATTACTTAGGGTCATTCGCACCGCTTCAGAATAAATTTCCCCTTAGTAAAGTGAAACTTATTATTTAAGTATTACTTATCGTGGTTTAATTTGCACCAGCCGATTAAAAAGCAACAACTAATTGTCAGATTGATTTGGCAACGTCAATATTTTTCTAGAAAAAGAAGAAATAATGTCAAATTTTAATTTTATTTTGAATGTTGGATCAAAGAATACCTACCCAAGAAGCGAAACTAAATGGGCGATTCGTGGACAAAAAACTGCCAAGTTTTCTTAGTGTTTTAGAGGTGGTTTAACGTCAAATATAGTTGTCAATTTATTTAGAGCAACGTTTGGTATATTATTATTAGCGATTTGTGAAAATTACAGTACAGTTAAGAAGTTGTATTTAACTAGATAGTAATAAGAAATTAGATAGTTTTATCACATGCAAAAAATATATTGCGTTGTTCGTAAATTTTAATGAACGTTCTTGCATCCGGCTGTAAATGTTTTCTTTTTAAAATTTCTGAATGATCGTTTAATTTCCTATTTTTTTATTTAAAATATGTTTATTTTTGGTTTTCAAACCATTAAACTTAAAACAGTAAAGAAACAATATTTATAATATATGACACCCCCCTCCGAAGAACCAAGTGGATGCTATAAGGATGCAATCGAAATACATATACAGCTACCTACAGTACTTCTGGATATGTAACGTGTGGAGGGTGGGTTACCTTCTAGCTCGTGAGCCTGCCTACAGATTTAATGTAGTTGATAACGTCGCCAAGGGATGCTTCTCTTATATCGGCCGGTGCTAGCCGATACTCGCCGAACACAAATCATCTAATAAAGGAGAGCGTCGAGCAATTGTAAAGGATATGCTCTCTGCAGAGTGCGGATTCTGACAGCCCCATGATATGGAGATGCTTCCGTACTTAACAATAACCAGTCAGAATGCCTGTGACTAGGCGCAAATTCTGTCTAGTCATAGTCAAGTATTTGTTTGCTGCAGTATTGTCCGGAAGAGCTCCCTGGTAACTCTGCAGTTTCTTGTTTCATACCATCTTTCCTTGAATTTTACAAGGGAATGTTCTTTAATTAAGTCTCTCAGGCGAGTAGATGGGCCAGGTCCAAAAAGTATTTGGTTGGCTGCTTTCTTGGCTAGTGAATCAGCAAGAGGTTACCTTTTGATATGGCGTGACCTTTGTTCCATCTTAAGGTGACCACATTGTTGATAGATACTTTGGCCAAAACTTTGTGACATTCTAGTACTAACCCTGAGTAAATTCGTGGTCTGTTCAGATTGAGTAATGCTTGTCTGCCATCTGTATAGATGAGCATGTTCCTTCCAGTGATATTGTTTCTGATTATTTTTTTTTGCTGCTATGAAAATTCCCGGTTAGCTCTATTTGAACTACGCTGGCACTATTGGTCACAGCCCATTTTATGTTTAAGAATCTGAAGTATATTTCACATCCTGAGCCTTGTTTTGTTTTAGAACCATCAGTGTAGATATGAATAGTACCTGCCACTTCCGGCTCTTCTATTTGTTCTGTTATAACTTCATATGGCTTATGGAAGATCTATCTCGGTGAGATGAAGTTTATGTTAGCTTGAAGCAGTGGAAGCATATCGAGCGCCTTTTGCCAAAAGTATGAGTTCCATGTTAACTTGTTGTCAGAGGTGCTACCTATAGGTAGTTCACCTCTGTTATAAAGTTTTGTTTTGTGTTTAGCAGCTTTGGAGGTTTTAATTTCATTTTCATAATTTGCCTTGTAAAAAGAGCCATTTCTGTCTTCTTGGGATTGATAGACAGTGAATGGTCCTTGCACCTCTGTTCCATAATTGTTCTTAAAATTTACTATTTGCAGAATGACCATATCATCTACTTACGCTATTGTGTAGTGACTCTAATTATTGTACCTACAGTACTTATTTCGTTATTAAAATAATGTATTTTATACAATGAACATAGTAAGAATTTTCTGTCATTATGACTTTAGTATGTCTTATGGACCAAACGACAAAAATTGAATAATTTTCATAAGTTTCTCAGTGTATTAAGTTCCCATCTTTGGTACATTCGAAAACTCATTCAGTTTCGCTTCTTGGGTAGGTATTCTATGGTTGGATATTTTTCGCAGGCGCAGAAGAAAGAACCACTCTTTTCTGTGTCACTAGGGCTATTTAAAAAATTAGTAATAAAATAGAGCAACATAAAGTACAGCTATAATGAGACTAAAATTAGTATTAATTCAATTAGTTAATATAAAAAAATATAGAAATCATAGTAACATTGGAAGATGAGGATGAGGTATCCAATACTACCAAGAGTTTAATGTTAATTTTACAAAAAATATTCGCAAAAAAAAACAATTTTTTTATATTCTTCGTGGTATCCAATAATAATGAGATCAAGTATTTTCAAAGCCTAATCATCTTCCATTATTTCCATTTTGTGTATTGCAATTTTACAAAGGCGTATTAGTACTTATAATAGACTGATTTGCATAACCAATGCTAATAAATTAATTACACAATAACAGTCAAAATCGTTAAAAATTATAAAAATTAAGTAATGGTTTAAGCTGAAAAATTTCTGTTCTTAATAAAGAGTGATTCTTAACGCCTTGATAAGTAGAACTTTAATAACGGTGCTAATGGTTGTTTTCTTAAGTGTCACTTACATGCTAAGTAAAAACGGTGCGAATGGCCTTTAGTGGTTTACCCCTCGGTTAAATGATTATTTGAAATATTCATCTTATTTGTGGCCTGTTGCAGATGGGCGCGCTGGCGAAGAAGGGCGCTGGTGTAAACCGGCGAACTAGTGTTAATAATTGTTAATCACTTATTGTTGCGTTTCATTCACCACCAATATCTTATTTTTAGGAAATCTTAAAAGATTTAGTTATTTGCGAGAAAGCACTTAATGATTATTTGGATACGAAGCGTTTAGCTTTCCCGAGATTTTATTTCGTATCATCTGCCGATTTGTTGGATATATTATCTAACGGAAATACACCGGTATTGATTCTGCGCCATCTAACAAAGTTATTTGATTCTTTGGCCAAAATGATATTTACTGTCGAACAAGGAAAGGCCACGAAGAAAGCAAAAGCTATGGTATCAAAAGAAGAAGAAATTGTAACGTTTGTAGGTAAGTTCTATAATATTCTATAATATTCTTTAAAATAATTTGTCTTCTCTTTACATTAAATGCATCTGTTTGTAGTACAAAATTCCACTAAACATGTTCGTAGATTATGATGCTAATAAACCAAGGCCGTCCCTGCCACAGAGTTGGGTATCCTTCCAGTACCCCACTCCGTTAATCTTTCTTTAGAAATTGACAGCATGCACACAGATTAAACACCGATGTATTGTGATGTTTGTTTATTTTAAAACAACCGTTTTTATTAATGATTTATTTAAACACTTATTTATTTTATAACACTATTCTAATTTATATAAATTTCGAATGTCTTTGAATCGTTTACTATTTATATTCACCACTGTCTATCTACTAATGATTGGCCCGTTCTTCCTCCACCAATATTTATATACACATTTAAAACTTTGGCGAAGGTATTTTCACCAATTCTCACCAATACTAGAAACATTATCACATTGACTCTGGAATGTACTCGAAAAGCACTTCCACCATAGTCGTCACATATGTTTGGTCTTAAGGGGTTTAATTGATGTATGATAATCGGACAAGTTGAGCCTCAAAGGCCAAATAAGACAGAGAGGGACTTGGAGGATTAGAGCATGACTAAATAATGAAATGGCTCACATTACAGTATGTTAGGGTGCGTACAATTATGATGGGCCGGGCCCGGGCCATGTCTACGTCTTCTTAACAACGGGCCGGGCCGGGCCCGGGCCGTGCCTGCGCCTTCTTAACAACGGGCCAAGTTCGTCAGATGTTTACGGTGCTGTTTGTCTATTACGAGTTGAGCCAAATGGGATCGAAGTAGGCCTGTTGCTTTCCATTGCGCGGTAGATCCACAATACGCTAAATTAGTGATGACGTAATTTTGGCTCCACTGATAATAATAAATACTATCACTGTAATTATTACAGTGACAATATATTTTTTTTTTTAGTGCGTTTTGTTTGTTTTGTTTACTTACATTGAATTGTTTTTAAACTTTGTTTTTGATTTATATCAGTGTAGTAAATCATATTCAAGACATAGAATCTGATTTAAAATCGTCTTATGTGTCTACCATGGGCCGGGCCAAATGCGCTAGTTCAGTGTGATGTCATTTTGGTTCCACTGACATTTAATTCTAACCAAACTTTTAACAAAAACCTCAATAAATTTGACATACTGTTTTTAGTTTATTTCTAAATATTTTTTACAGGTCATAAAAAATAGTTTAAAGGTAACTAAACGATTGTATATTTGATGCATGTTATCTACTTACTTTAGGAATATATTAATAAAAGTGAAAAATCGATATAATTTAGGTAAACAAAACGAACAAAACGCACTCAAAAAATCTACTGTCACTTTAATTGTCAGTGGAACCATAATTACATTATCACTGACATGCTAAAAAGTGTATATTCGACTAATCTGACAATTTGAGAGTGACGTAAGGAAAGGAGAGGGCAGCAAAGTTGTAAAAAAAACGTCATCTTGACATTCTCGAAAACTGTATAATCTGACGATTTCCGCAAGCCGAAATAACTAAAATTCGTCGACTAAGTTTAATGCGTGCAGCTGCGTGATGCCTATTTTTCCCTTCGTGTTTCTATTCCTCTCCCACTCAGTCCCGGTTTATCAGCTGATACATCATGTTAGCGAATATGGAACACCTGTAAGCAAGAGTAGAAGTTTGAATGGATCTTGGAGTTGGCAATGCACGCCGATTCATCGACGTATCCGCTCTCTACAAAACAGGCCCAAAAATTTCGAAAGAGCTTCCAGCTTTGCATGCGTTCACTGGTTGTGATTTTAACCCCGCATTGTTACAGACGAGGGAAAAAGAAACCTTTGCAATTTCTGATAAATTCAGAAATTTTCCAGGAAGCATTTCTGGATTTGGAATCAAAGGAGCATAATGTGCAGGATTCTTTTAACATCATACATTCTTTTGCCACTTGTATGGGTTGAAAAAGTAAGACGATGTCAATTAAGCCCAGGATTGTCATCTTCAATAAGACGTACAAGGTAAAAGACAAATCACAACCCTTCTCCTTGAGTGTCCGGAATTACGATGCGTGCAACTTGGCACCCTGTGAATCAGAGTTACTCCATCAAGTGTTACGTACAAGGTACATTGCATGCTTGTGGAGTAATGCCCATAATACAAAAATTTATTGATCTTCTACCAACGGACTATGGATGGAAAGTTGTCGACGGAAAATTAAAAATGATCTGGTTTGCAGGTGATCAATTGCCGAAAGCGTACGAAGATGTAGTCATAACACCTGATATTCTTGAGGATACTGCAGAATCAGGTATTTCTTTTCTCCAATAATTAAAAAAACACTTACAGATACGCAATCTGAGGATGAAATTGAGCCAGAAGAGGAAGATGATTCTACTGATGATGAAGATGATTAATCAATTAATTATAAAAAATTTAATTTTTTGAGCATTTTTTTTAATTATTTTCTTATAAATACAAATAGTATTCTACTTAAAAATCATACACTTTTTTAGTTGCATGCTATTTCCTGAGCTTTTCCAATTAAGTTCAATGATTTAAAAAAATAAAATTATTTTTTGTTAGATTAGGCGAATCCCTCTAGATAATCGTCAGATTATGAGACAGCACGTCTAGGACATAAAGATGAACAATATATATCTTAATCTGACGCGCTTGAGTATTTCAAAATGGCGAATTTTTTTGCACATTATAATAATGGCAGCGAGTTTGCGTTACATCGAAATCGTCATATTATTGAATGAGACCTTTTTTTTGGTTCACTTAACACCCCCTTAGAAAATCTGACGCTCTAGATGAATGTTGTTTTTAATTTTTAATCCTTACGTACAACCACCCGCATCATGCAAACGATCAGATTAACATACGTACATTATTAAAAATACGTAGGACATTGATGCTATTAATATATGACGCGCTCGAGTATGTCCATGCAACAGTATTTTTTTACATATTTAAAAACCTATAGCCGCTTCCCCCACCGATGAAAAGGTATATATATGACATTTTTTTCTTCTTATCTAAGCTTTGCAATCCAATAGGTCTCTATGACGCTCGAGTAAATCCCCATTTAGCATCGTGGGCTCCCCTACTACTAGTAATATACGCTCGAAGAGGACGATAAAATTCACTTTCGTTGTTAGAAGATTGAAATGTCTTTTCATCGGTGCATACCCATTGTTTCAAAATTCCTCCATGTGAATTAAAAATTCATTTGCAAACTGGACTTCCCTGCACTTATTTTTGGCGGTAGGAGCGCAGGTTTTTAAGTCGGCTTGTTTTAAACGCATTTGAGCTGTTTCTGAGAGATCCTGGGAATAATGTTTCATCTCGTGCTTCCACAGGGTTCCAAAAGAGACCTTCCTTACACCTTGTCTAAAAGGTTTTAACGTCTTAACGTAAAATATGAAACTTTTACTGACATTTAATTGAGCAGCCACTTTACACAACGACCAATTTTCTTCCAATTAAATGCTACTGCATTTTTGAAAATTAATTTGAGCTGTCAATTTTGAATGCAAAGAACGACTATGATGCATAGTCTAAATCACACAATAAATGTATGCGTTCACACTTCGGTGCATTAAAACATTAGTGTATAGTTTAATCATTTCCCAATATTTCTTTTAGGTATATGTGATTGTGCAGGCAAAGTTGAAATTTGGCTCAACAGAGTAATAGATATTATGAGACTTACTCTTCATAATAGTTTTGGAGATTGTGTAATAACATATGATGAGAAACCAAGAGAACTATGGATCAATGATTATCCAGCGCAGCCTGCCTTGTGCGGTAAGAAAAGAATGCAACTGAAAATAACTAGATAAAATTCAAATTAATTTTGTCTGGATTAAATTTTGTGCTGCATTAACTAGAAATGGCAATGTCATTTATTTTACCCATTTCCATTAAATTAATATTTTTCAATATCCAAAGTGCCTGTTACTATTTTTAGGTACTCAAATTTGGTGGACAACTGAAGTAAATATGGCGTTTGCCAAACTTGAAGAAGGTTATGAAAATGCCTTGAAAGATTATTCACGGAAACAAATAAACCAGTTGAACGCCTTGATCGGTCTTTTACTTGGCGATCTAACATCGCTGGAGCGTCAAAAAATTATGACAATTTGTACGATTGATGTTCACTCCAGAGATGTAGTAACAAAAATGATAGCAATGAAAATTGAGAACGCGGCGGCTTTTCAGTGGCAAAGTCAATTGAGACACCGATGGGATGATAAGAAAGATGACTGTTACGTTAATATTTGTGATGCTGAGTTTGCATATACATATGAATATTTGGGAAATACTCCTAGATTAGTAATTACACCGTTAACTGATAGGTAGGTAAATATGCTGAGTATTATTAAACTTCATTGATGAAAAGACAAGTCCTGGAAGGCAAAACGTAAATATAGTATACCTAAAGGGCTTGAAAGAAGTTCATACTGATTATCTACATTTTTTAATTACGGCCCTGGTAGGCCAAAACCATCATTTCTGCTTGTCTTGAGTCACTGATAGTAGAACTGCTTGTTTGATGTGTCAATTCAAAGTTCATATAATACTTTAACATGATTTAATAAACATTACAAACCATTCACATGTAATAATAAATATCACAAAAATAACGTTGATTATTTATACTAAGTATAACAAGTTACAAGGTAGCAACTTGCTCAGAAAACCATTTATTTGGTAACTCCGTTGATGGAGATAATAAAATCTGAAATTGCTTACTGCACGGCATAACCGCCTCGAGTTTTATAAAATGTGATTTACATCTTGTTACGATTTTCCACTAAACGGACAAGACAAGAACAAAACAAACTCCTGTCGAAAAAAACAAAACTGCAACTTTTCGCAAGACTGGCGTGTTTTGTATCTAGAGTCCTGCTCGGAAGCGGTAACATCAAAAAGTTTCGACGCGTTTTGAAACTCAAGTGTGATTACTGGAAACGGTCGTGTTGTGTAGTCTAAAAGTCTAAATTTTGTACCAAATTGGTACCTATGGGTAAGTAAATAACTTATTTTTGTATAGATACAGTTCATCAAATTTCTAGAGGTGTTCGACGCCCAGACAGAGAACGCGCTACGTGTGACTAAGATAGCTATTGTACAGTCTGCTAAACAAATTATTTTAAATAGTTTTTAATATTTTTAGGTAATTAAATTTTAAAAGTGTGGAATAGTTTAGGGATTAAATTGGTCTGATTGGACTTTCTTAGAACGTTTTTAAAAGCAGCTAAAGATAGTATGTAGAATTGAAAATAATTATTATGCCATAAAAGGTGTTTTGGAATTCCTTCAACCTTTTGAAATTGAGTCAGAAAATATAAATTTTATAGGATAGCGGAAAATACCTATAATTTTTTTGTAGGCCTTTGTAAATCGTGGAAATAGTTTATATTTTATTTCTACCTTATTAAGGAAAATGGTACCTATTATTAATAACGGTTGTTTCTGAAACATTACTAAAATTTTCGAAATTTTGTTTTTCTACAAAATAAACTATACTATTTAGAAAAAAATTTATTTCTCTTATAATTTTATAAAAAATAACAGGGGAATATTTACATTTCTTGATCTATTAAACAAAACGATAAATTATCTCGACGAATGACACCATGTTCTAGTACGGAAGCTAGCTTTACATTTTTGTTGGTGGTTTCATGGGTTTCATATCAATTTTTTGTAATTGTAGTTTACACGTACATATACCTCTTAACACTTGTTTGCTTTATTAAAAAAGTGTGTTGTTGTGATTTACGTCGAAATAAGTCAAAAACAACTTGAAACCCCATATAAAATCAAAAAGGAGAAACGGAAAAAAATTGAGCCTGTAAATGAACACAACTCAGAAACAAAAATAGCTATCTAATAATAAAAAAATAAAATTTGATTCTTGTGCAGCTTCATCTATATCATTAACTGTTTTTGGTTTTTTAATGATTTTTCTTGGTGATGAAAATTCCGATATCTCACGGTTATCGATTCTTTTTTTCTCTCCAGAAATGCGGACGACAGTGTTTTTAGATACTCCTGTGGCTGCAGCAACACGATCATTTACATTTTTAAATGGTATTGAAGGTGAATTAAAGTTTCCTTCTCTTCTCATAAACTCTATAACATTGGCTATTATTTCGCGAGATTGACTGTTAATCACGCGGCCTCTTAATTTGCTATTAAACTCTCCATACTTAGGTTCTATTAAACTGTAATGAGCAAAAAACACAAACGAAAATAAAAGAAATGTTTTAGCGAAATTTACATCTGACATTTACGTCTGAATGAAATAGTGAAATACTTGATGCGCAGAGTGTACTTTCATTGCGTAAATCCGTCGGGATGCCTGTCAGTAGTGCTTTCTCTGTCTAGCCGTCGAAAGCCTGATGAACTGTAAGTAATTATTAATAGGTAACTTATTTTTAAATGCTGGATAAATTTATAGATATAAAGTATGTTTATTAGTAGAGTATATATTTAAACATATTATTATTATTATTATTATTATTATTATTATTTTGTGTGTCATCGGCTTCAACTGCTAAGGTTATTTCGCCTCATGTTCTGTGTAGGCTTTGTTACTGTTTCCCAGCGCCACTTTAGGAACAGAACTGTTAATTAGAACCCAACCGTGAATGGTCGAGTAAGGAATCCTACCTATGCATTAGAATTATTATTTCATTTTTTTTAATTAAATAAAAATTCCTGCCACCGGTGGGATCCTGAGACCTCAGAGTCATGACTCTAATCACTGAGCCAACCCACCCCCTATTATTATTATTATTATTATTATTATTATTGTTGTTAAATCTGTCGGCAAATTGTTTGGCGATTTCTATTTAGGTGGAATTCCTTTCAACGGTCTATCGAATCTTCTAGTAGCTTAGGGTGAGATTACAGAACGTCTGCAACTTTGCAGATCTGCAAATATGGCGGCAGATCTGCAAATATAGCGGACTTACATATGCAAGTATCAAGTTTTCGTATTCCAAAAAATATCTGCAAATTCGCAATAAACCACAATAAATTTTGCTAATTTGTAGATATTTTTTGGAATACGAAATCTTGATACTTGCATCTGTAAGTCCGCCATATTTGCAGATCTGCAAAGTTGCCGCCATATTTGCAGATCTGCAAAGTTGCAGACGTTCTGTAATCTCACCCTTCATGATTGACCGTTCAAGCGCGACAAGCTTTATTACGTCAAAACTGTCTTTAAAATCAAACTTTCGATTACACGTGTGAGAGAGATGGACATATTGCATATGATAAATGATTGATCAGTTTGGCACTCAGGACTGGGCTAGCCTGATGTAATAAATTAATGAAGAGAAAAGATCAAAACATTTTGAAAAAATATTTGAACATAGCCAAATCTAAAAACTACTATGCTAAAATACAAGGTCGCTTCCTAATAATAAATAATGAAAAGTACACGATTGAAAAATTAAAAAATACGGATTATGAAGATGACATCAATACAGAAAATAGCAGAAGTGAAAAATCCGCTAGTGCTCCTGATACACCTACCATTTTCACTACTGAGAATATTTTTCTTGAAGACACCCTTAGTCGATTCACTATCCAAATACTCCAAAGTAAACCAGAACAATACACTACAAACCATCAACAAGAGAGAAATAACGACCTAAAAACCCTTAGAGATAGAAATAATTCCCCGGGCACTATCAAGAAAACGGCCAAAAACGACAAGAAACTACAAAATAAAGTGAAAGAAGACAAGAATGAAAAAAGATTAGGTGTAAAAGAAAAAATCCGAAGAGAAAAATAAACCAGAACAAAAAAATATAGAAGAAAACAAAATAGAAGACAAAAAACTGCTTTAAAAAATAAGTCACACGACTCAACTCATTAAAATAAAAAAGAAAATTTTCAAGCTGCATAATATAAGTATCTTTTTATTTTTATTTTAACTTGTAATTTAATTTGTTAGTACCCGATATACCATGATAAATAAAAATGGATCAATATATTCGAGATTTCCAAATAAAATAAAATTAAAACCTTCAATTTGAATAATGTTAGTCAATGTAGCCAAATATTGAAAATTAATAATAAAAATGTAAATTTTAAGATATTACATATTAATATCCGCAGTATTGACAAAAACCTGGACGAATTCAAAATATTTTTGCAACAACTAAATGTAGAATTCGACTGTTTAGTACTTACCAAAACCAGACAATTACCTAATCCAGATTTTTATAGCATACCTGGGTATTCCATTATATACAATCAAGGAACATTTAATCAAAACGACGGCACTGTTATGTAAATTAAAAATGACTAGGATTTTGAATACCACGTTATAACCATAGAAAACAAAATTTTTAAAATCAATAATAAAATTTTATAACAATCATATAACAGTTACTGCGTGCTACAGATCCCCAGCTTCAGACATTGCCGACTTCATCAAAATACTGCAAACATAGAAAGTCTTATCCCCAAAAGCGACATCCTCACGTAATGACACAGTACTACAAAAAAAATGTAAGCAGTGGTGGCTTGTGGTAACTTAAAATGGGTGTTCATTTTTCCATTAATTTTATCATATGTAAGTTCGGATCAAAACTTTGTAAAAGAGTCAATATCGCTTTTTTTATTATTTGAGTTTGTATTAAGTGTAGTTATTATTATCTACATCATACTGTTAGTTAGTAAACTAACTTTTCTTCATAATTTGAGATTATTTTTAAATATATATTAGGTTACGTAGAAAGCATGACATTGATTTTTGTGTAAAAAATTTTATATGAAACTTTACCTAACATTTTTTAGTTTAATCATTTTCACAATTTTTTAAATACCTTTTATTGGCATATAAATTAAGAACTAAAATGTTTTAAATGTTTATTTTATAAGATCACTCCCATCACAATACATAATATTACACAGACACAAACTAGAATAAAGATAGATAATGCCTGGCATTTTAAATGATACTCTTTGAAGTTTAACAGACCCCCTTAACCCCCATTTTTAAGCAGATTGTTTTCACAATCAATAGGCCTCATCTCCTTATAAACCTTGATTTTGACTAAAAATTTCATGTTGATATCGCTTTTCATTTTTGATTTTTTTTTTTAATTTCAACCCCCTTGAATCTCCCATATTTAATCAGATTTTTTTATAATGAAAGGGCTTCTCCTTTTAGGATTTTTTTTAATATTTTAACCCCCCTTTAACTCCCTAATATATTCATATTTTTTTCAGTATCAATAGGCTTTATCTTCTTATAAAGCTTCATTTTCACTAAAAATTTCATATTGATATTGCTTTTCGTTTTTAATTAAGGATTTTTTTTAACTTCAACCCATCTTAACCCCCTATTTTTAATTAGATTCGTTAAAAATCAGTAGGCCTTGTTCCCTTATAGAGCTTGATTTTTGCTTAAAAAGTTTATATCATTTCTCGTTTTTGAATTATCATGCAGACAAAAAACGTGACTTCGGACAGACACACAAAGTAAACCTATAATACTCTTCACATAATACTGTATGAAGAGTAGAAAAAAAATGTATAAGGTAAAATAAACAATTTAAAAAGGTCACCAATAATATTCCTTTTCCTTTTATCAAAGTTTAAAATAGCAACACATAATTGAACATTTACATAAATCTGTGAACTAAACTAGTGAGATAAACATCGTAAAATGTTATCACAATTAATTCTCCATATGACCCTTTCTAAGTGTATTTCACAGCACATTCCAAAGTATTCTTGTCATATACCCTTATGGCAGATTTTTGCATGTCCATATTCACTAAAAAATAGTGTTTTAATAAATAACAGAATAATAGTATTTTGTCTAAATAGGTAAATCGACTTCTTCTGTATTTTCAAATTATTATTCAATTGTAGATAGTATATTAATGTTTTGATATGTACTTATAGGATTAATTAGCCAGATCATGTAGATATGTGGGATGTGACTAATCAAAATCACAATTTATGTTTGATACTTATTGCTTTATTCGAGACATACTTTATTACCAACTGTAAATTAATTTACCAACAGCCTTATTTTTATTTAATACCTGGAGTGATCCAAATTACCATAACATCTAATATTTTTGAAAATTCTAAATTATACAAATAAGGCAATAAAAAAATGTCATTAAAATAAAAGATTTCTGGTTTGTATGCAACAAACGATCTAGGTTAAAGGGCAACACGATTGATAATGTACATACCATTTCTTAGGTAAAATTTCTCATCGAGTATATTAAATTAACTGGTTGGTCCTTTTTTCTGATTCAGAATTTTAAAGTGAAAAACTATTTGTCTCTTTATCTTTATCAAATTTTTATTGTACATTTCCATAATGATGTCTAGTTACACCTCATCAGAATAATTAAATTTTTCCATTTAGCGGGTTTTGTGGAAAAAAAAATTACAAATTTTTTGCTTACTTCTTACTTCATAGTATTTACAATTGAGTACAAAATAGACCATTTTAAAGTAGTCTTAGACACTGAAACAAAATATAAAACAAATTACAGTAGTATAACTTTATGATAGGTAAAAAAAATCAACATAACCTTAAAAATTTTAATTTACCTTGCCTTATAGAAGTTTTTCAAGAACAATCGTTGAATTGGCACACATACTTTCAATTTATTGAAGACACAGTTCCTAATTAGACACATTTTTTTAAATAAGCACAATTAAAATTATCTTATGTTTTTATTTAAAGTATTTAATAGCAGAGGAATGATCCTAATGACAGTGACAGTTTGTTTGATTTGGTACAGTGTTACCAGAATATGTTTTTGTTATGTACCAGATTCCTTAAATGTATCAGATTTTTCGAATTCTATTTGCAGTGACATCTAATTCATTGAAAGGGAAAAAATGGGGTCTTTATTGATAACGAACCCAAACAAGGAACACTATATATTTTACACGTGAACACTGATGCACGGAGAATGTAATACATCTAGTGCAATTGTGAATTGTACTAGACTGGCAACACTGGTTTGGCAACCTTGTTTGTGAGTTGCGCGCCAATTAATGTGTTCTTTGACAGTTTGAAGGATCTGTTGGCGTGTTGTCTTCTCGTTTTAGCTATATGCATTTGGCATATCGTCTCACTCGTATTAGGCTCACTCATCATAACGCGCCACAGACACAGTATACTTAGGTATACTGTGACATAGAGACGCGATCAGCCAGAGGACAATGATGTACAAAAAAATATAGATTGACACGTATGAAAATAAAAATTTTAAGATTAAATTTATATTTTTGTTATTTATGTAATATTAAAATAATGTGTTTTTATGAAATTTAACTGGGTGTTCACTGCACAAAAGAACCAATGGAGAAACCGCCCGTGACTACTAGATTTATTTGTTATGCAATGTAATTACACTAATTATTATTTAAGTATCTATATATTTTTTTTATTTTAATTCACATTGTTTTAAATTGAAATTTGATGTTTTGCTGAATATACTTTTCTGTGAATGAAGTTATTATTATTATTATATGTTGAACAGAACTCATCTTGTTTTTTTGTCAAATAAATTATAACATGTTCTGCTAGCAATGGACGATGATAAAACAGTCATACGCTAGTTGGTGATTATCCCTAGATCCAAGATGATTCATCTACTGTTTAATGATCGAAGATTTTACCAATATTAAACTATGTTTTTATACTTCAGGTGTTATATAACTTTAACGCAAAGTCTTCATTTAGTCATGGGTGGAGCTCCTGCAGGACCTGCAGGAACAGGAAAAACTGAGACAACGAAAGATCTTGGCAAAGCACTTGGTATGATGGTGTATGTTTTTAATTGTTCTGAACAGATGGACTACAAGTCTATAGGAAATATATACAAGGTAAAGCCATTAATAATTTAAAAAAATTGTATTTTTACCTAAAAATCGGGTAACAAATATTTTTGTTTTGCAATTAAATCTAAAATATTTGAGAACAAATTAGAATTAGTAGTAGGAAATACGAAGATTTAAATTTAAATAATATTTCAATATCGGAAGAATGAATATCTTCACAAAATAATAGGAAATGACTATTTGAGGCATTTATACATAGTAGGGCATATGTAATATTAAAAAAAAATGTATTTAGTGTAACACAATACTATTTTAGATGGATGCGGCATTGCCAAATTAAGAAAAGATTATTTTTTTATTAATTTATTTCTTAAAAATTGATATATGTGACACCTCGTTAAAAAGTTAATTTAGAAGGTAATAATATTAAAAATATAAGATAACCGCCATAAGAAATAACAAAGTTATGGTAGGTTACTTAAAAAAATCTGATGTGTCCAACACATGACTTTCCTATCTAGTTATTATAGGCATTTTCCGGTTATTTTGTACAACCTATTGCAGCATCTCTATAAATGTTTAGAGGATAAACTAAATATATACATTTTACACATACATCTACCTCAAAACATTTTTCTATAGATTTTCATTGAAAACGAAAATACAGAAAAATTTAAATTTAGCACTTTTCCATTACGGTCCATTTTAGAAAAATCATGTATAAACAAAAATTATAGAAATCGATATCGCAAACAACTTTTAGTTCAACAATTTTCATAAAAATCAGAATTTTGCACATTTTGTCAAATTTCTCGAATACGGACCATTTCAGGAAATTTTGACATAAAACAAAAATTATAGATAATAATATTAGAAGTAACTTTTATTTGAACAATTTTCTTCTCCAAACATAAATAACAGATATATTCCATAAAATATAAAAACGGCCTCCCATAAAGTACCCCCCCAGATGTTCCGACTTTGTCCAAAATCTAATCATTTCACGTCAGGCCGAAATAAACCTTAAGTTTAAAATTTAATGTTTTTTCCTTTATCCGTTTTTGAGTTTTCTTCAAATTTCGAAATTTACACATTTTCTCAAATATCTCGAATACGGTCCATTTTAGAGAAATTATGTATAGGACAAAAATTATAGAGAATTATATTACAAACAACTTTTATTTGAACAATTTTTATAAAAAATTATGTTTTTTACATTTTGTCAAATTTCTCGAATACGGACCATTTTAGGAAAATTTTGCATAAAACAAAAATTATAGATAATTATATTAGAAGTAACTTTTATTTGAAGAATTTTCTTCTCCAAACGTAAATAACAGATATATTCCATAAAATATAAAAATGACCACTTATAAAGTACCCCCCCAGATGTTCCGACACTGCCCAAAATCTAATCAGCTCATTGGACGCTGAAACAAAGCTTAAGTTTAAAATTTGGTGTTTTTCTGTGTATCGGTTCATGAGTTATGCGTTATACAGACACACACACAGACACACACACACACACAGACACACACACACACACACACACACACACACACACACACACACACACACACACAGACATCATCGCGAAAATAGTCAAAACGGATTCAGGGGACCTCAAAACGTAAAAATCCGTCGAAAACTCGAGGTCGAAAAAAATCATGATTCCTATACTTTCCTTATATCTGTATACAGATAGGAAAGTAAAAAAGTTGGAATTATTTTCTATAAATATGTTCTCCATTTTTAAATCAAAATGGTACAGAAAATATTTGAAAATTTACGAAATGGTGAAAGAATCGATTTTAAAGTGATCGAAAACTAATTGGTTATACAGGGTGGCTCACGCTCAACGGGACGGAGCTTTATGGGAAAACGACCAAAGATATAAAAAATTCGTTTGGGAGGAATACGTAGGTTACAGACAGCTACAATGTAAAATTTGTTAGATGTATACATAAGAAAAAAAAAAATTAGTTCATTTAAAATTCAAACAAGAGTAAACGATTAATTTCTGGGAGACTTTTTTTCCTTAAAAATTCAAATAAATCGAAAACTAATAATAATAATAGGGAACCTTTAGTTAACTGACATTATTTTTGATGTAGTTTTTAATTCTAAAATAAAAAACAGGGTGTTCCATTAAAAATAATATAACTTTGTATATTTTCTCTTATGTGGGACATCCTGTCGTTTTCCCATAAAGCTCCGTCCCGTTGAGCGTGAGCCACCCTTTATATCCGAAAAATATGATGAATAAATTCCCAGGAAATCCCTAAACATATCCTGATATTACCCCTACAAAATAATAAAAATTATTTTTAACCTCTAAGGGGAAAACAAATTTAATGGAACATTGAAAAAAATCTGCCCGCAGGGGATTCGCGCCTACTTATCCATTTCCAAATATGGAAATGTTCGTAGTGACTTTCTGTTGTTTCTAATAAATAAGCTTTTAATAATTAACAAAATATTTATAGGGACTGGCTCAGAGCGGTTGCTGGGGGTGTTTTGATGAATTCAACAGAATTTCTGTTGAAGTTTTGTCTGTAGTAGCGGTTCAAGTCAAAAGCTTACAGGATTGTATTAAAGACAAAAAGAAGACTTTCTTTTTCGAAGGAGATGAAATTAAAATGATACCTACGGTAAGTTTAGGCTAGTTTCCTCTTTTTTTGTCTACTATATATCTAGGTAGTTGTTAATGTGTATTTTCTATACTTTCTATACCTAGCACAAAGTTTCTGTTCAGTAATGACAAGAATTTTTTAACAAATACTCAGTTACTCTATTTATAATCCACCCCGTATAAATAAGAACAAAAATACTGTTACGCAGGTTTTCGGTATCACAATTTATTTTAACTGAACTTTACAATAACTATAATTCAACTTTGACAATAACTTTACAACTGATAACATTCACGTATAACGTCTTATCATAAAACTGAAAACTCTGACGTCAGGTCGTCGCCTTATATAGCTTGCCTTCCCTTCCGGAAACTTCTCGAACAATCTAGACTTGTCATCTAGAATGTTCTTGACGGGTAATGACATTTCTGGAACATTCTCTTCTTTTACTTGCACTTCTACTTATGACGATCGCAGCGCACTGTAGAGCGAGGAGTAGCATTCCACTTCTTTTTCTATCTGTATGTTTCCTATGAAAGCCGCAGGCTACTGCAGGGTGCTGCGTAACAATATATTATTCAAGAAGTACATTGCTTTATCAAATTTAAAAATCTTAAATCAATAGTCAACCCTGACAACAGCAAAAAATGCAGCGTAACATATTAACTAGTATTTTTGCGGAAAATTTTCAATAATTTAAATAAAAAGTGTTAACTCTCTCCAACTCGTAAATTTATCTCATTCGCTCTAACATGGGCATAGGTAAAATAAATCATTAAAAATAAGCACATATGTGTATTTAATAGTTTCAACATATACGCTATCTTTGTCTGCATTAATCTGGTATAACTATCTCACCACGCTCTTCACAATCGATCACAAAACTGTATGCAAATGCATGATCTATTCCTTCAACCAATCACAACAATAACACACAGCTGCTAGCCTTTTGTCACCACAATCGACGAACAGAGAGGCCTATTCCAACCTCCACCAGAACAACACGTTATTTTTATTTAAAACAAATGAAAGATGTTTTAAACCTGTGTCTTTTATAAAGTTTTAAGCACTCACACAATACGCCGTTAATGTGTGATATAATTTTGGTTCCACTGACAGTTAATAAATATTGTTTGCAGGTCCTAAAAAGTAGTTTAAAGGTTACTAAATGATTATATACTTGATATAAAAACGATATAATTTATATGAACAAAACGTGCTCAAAAAAATCACTGTAATTATCAGTGAACCCAAAATTATGTAATCACTAATTTAGCGTATTGTAAAGTCGTTATGTAATACAATGTAAAGTTTATAGTGTCAAATAAATTAGTTAGTTGCAGTAATCATTTTAATTTCAACATACCAAAACAAGTATTAGGCAATTGACCAATGAAAATCATACATTCTACAAGCAGGAAGCTTGGGATTGTAGTTTTTACTTAAATGTTTATATTAACCATAGATAAAAGAGACCGAAGATGTAACATTGCACACTGCGCATGTTGTCTGTTTTAACCCCAAGTAACCCACCAACTGAAAATCATTGTTTGCGCGATGCCACCCGAATTGCTCCGATTTTCCCCATTCAACGCTCAGTTCAATCACCATTGACAGCTGTTTTTTAATTTATTTGTTGGTATTTTAGCAATTTAAAGTGTTCTAGTTATTCAATTTCAAGTTGAAAATACCACGATGTATATACCAATGTTATGAAAGATAAAAATATATTAGTTTTCAGCGGTAAATATTTATTAACGTTGACATAAAGCGCCATGATACTTTGGGCTTTAAGGGGTTTCAGTAAATATTAAGCATCAAATACATATTTCAGAAAACAGATTTCGTATTACTTACATAAACTTACAAAAGAGTTAAATTTTAAATATTTAATTTGAATAAGAAGTAAATAGGCATTGTCGCTAAAGACATTTTGTTTTTAAAAAGTAGTTTTATAAGAATATTTACTAAAGGTGGTTTTTAGCACTTTTTGGTAGATAAATAAGAAGTAGAGAAGCATAGTTGATAGCTAAATTTTATTTTTATATGAATATTAGATGAAATACAGGATGAAAAACTTAAAAGTTCAAGATAATGTAATAATCGATTTTAAAGGAAATACAGAAAGAAAGTAGATTTATTCAAAATAATCGATTTTTTTTGGAAAAATCGATTTATTTTTTAATCATTTTTTTTTTAATTAATCGAATATTTTCGAATTTTCAAAGGTATTATATGAAAATAATCAATCGAATATAATCGGTTATTTTATATAACCAATATTTCGGTTATTTTTCAGAAATATCGATTTATCGATTTTCATCGATTAATTTCGATTTTTTAAAGATAATAGAATAATCAATTTTAAAGCAAATATGAAAAAGATTATTAGAAAATAAGCGATAATTCGGTTATTTTTTTTGGAAAATATATTTAGATCGAAAATAATCGATAATTCGTTTTTTGTTTTTTTTTTTGAAAATCGATTTATCAGTTAATCGATTTTTTAATTAATCGATTATATTTGATTAATCGATTATTTTCGATTTTTCAAAGATTATCGAATAATCTGTTACAATGGACGAAAAAAAAATAGATTATTTGAAAATAATCGATTATTTAAAATAAACGATAATTTTTTTATTATTTTTTGTAAACACTGATTTATCGGGTAATTGGCTTTTTAATTAATCGATTATTTTTGATTTTTTAAATTAGTTTATTTTAAAGGAAATACGAAAACCAAATAGATGATCGGTCATTTATTTCGATAATAACCCACCCCTAGTGACCAGGGTTAAATCAAAGTATATTAACCGTTGAGTAGCGACAGCTGGGGAACCAAATTCTAGTGCGCCGACACGAAATAGAGAGGCGAGACATCTTCTAAAGATGTAAACAACCCCTTTCACTTTAGTCCGGCAGCTGATATAGGAATTCGTTTTTGTGGATTTAGTAGTGCTCTTTTATTGTGTTTTTGTTAAGATTTTTTGAGGTTTTGTGGGTTTTTCATTATGCCAGGAAATGCATGTGCTATAAGTGATATATATATATTTTTATATTTACTACATAAGTTACAGTTCATCAAATTTCTAGAGGTGTTCGACGCCCAGACAGAGAACGCGCTACGTGTGACTAAGATAGCTATTGTACAGTCTGCTAAACAAGTTATTTTAAATAGTTTTTAATATTTTTAGGTAATTAAATTTTAAAAGTGTGGAATAGTTTAGGGATTAAATTGGTCTGATTGGACTTTCTTAGAACGTTTTTAAAAGCAGCTAAAGATAGTATGTAGAATTGAAAATAATTATTATGCCATAAAAGGTGTTTTGGAATTCCTTCAACCTTTTGAAATTGAGTCAGAAAATATAAATTTTATAGGATAGCGGAAAATACCTATAATTTTTTTGTAGGCCTTTGTAAATCGTGGAAATGGTTTATATTTTATTTCTACCTTATTAAGGAAAATGGTACCTATTATTAATAACGGTTGTTTCTGAAACATTACTAAAATTTTCGAAATTTTGTTTTTCTACAAAATAAACTATACTATTTAGAAAAAAATTTATTTCTTTTATAATTTTATAAAAAATAACAGGGGAATATTTACATTTCTTGACCTATTAAACAAAACGATAAATTATCTCGACGAATGACACCATGTTCTAGTACGGAAGCTAGCTTTACATTTTTGTTGGTGGTTTCATGGGTTTCATATCAATTTTTTGTAATTGTAGTTTACACGTACATATACCTCTTAACACTTGTTTGCTTTATTAAAAAAGTGTGTTGTTGTGATTTACGTCGAAATAAGTCAAAAACAACTTGAAACCCCATATAAAATCAAAAAGGAGAAACGGAAAAAAATTGAGCCTGTAAATGAACACAACTCAGAAACAAAAATAGCTATCTAATAATAAAAAATAAAATTTGATTCTTGTGCAGCTTCATCTATATCATTAACTGTTTTTGGTTTTTTAATGGTTTTTCTTGGTGATGAAAATTCCGATATCTCACGGTTATCGATTCTTTTTTTCTCTCCAGAAATGCGGACGACAGTGTTTTTAGATACTCCTGTGGCTGCAGCAACACGATCATTTACATTTTTAAATGGTATTGAAGGTGAATTAAAGTTTCCTTCTCTTCTCATAAACTCTATAACATTGGCTATTATTTCGCGAGATTGACTGTTAATCACGCGGCCTCTTAATTTGCTATTAAACTCCATACATAGGTTCTATTAAACTGTAATGAGCAAAAAACACAAACGAAAATAAAGAAATGTTTTAGCGAAATTTACATCTGACATTTACGTCTGAATGAAATAGTGAAATACTTGATGCGCAGAGTGTACTTTCATTGCGTAAATCCGTCGGGATGCCTGTCAGTAGTGCTTTCTCTGTCTAGCCGTCGAAAGCCTCTAGAAATTTGATCAACTGTAAATACTCATAAATATAAAACTGTCTAATGACCAAACCTTTATTTTAAATGTAAACTACAAAAGAGTTTTACTTCAAATTACGTCGAGCAGTGTAAACATCACATTCAAGACCAGTTCATAATTCGAGCAGTGTTTTACTGTGTCGTTCCGTCAAAACGTCAAAAGAGAGAGAAAGAAAATTTGCACCACCCAAGATCAGAGGCACCGACGCTTTATGTCGCTACTCAACGGTTTATATACTTTGGTTAAATTTTAAAATGTTATCTGGTTTGAGACCTATGCATTTCTAGAGTTTTATGTGACTCATCCTCTATATTAATTAATATTACTAAAGAAAGAAGCTGAGGTTACAATACAAAACAGCATTTTCTCATTTTGACTAATTTAATATAATGTTCAACTCAAAAGGTTTGATTTGCAGTATTCGCCTGTGCACATGCTTTTTTATAATATTCGTAGACAATGAGTACCATTTCTTGCTCTATTAACAATATTCTATTTCAACATTTTACTGTAGTCTCTTGTTGAAAAGTCCGTAGTAAAGAAACGCTAACGAAATATTATATAAAATGTCGTGCATCTGTTTGATATTAAAAAATCACGTTAATTTTATTTCATAATACAAAATTCCATTAAACATATTATATTTTAAATAAATCTAATAGTTCATTATGATGCTAATAAACAAAGTTCGGTCCCTGTCACAGAGTTCGGGTCTCTGCCCAGTTCCCCCACTCCGTTAACCTTTCTTTAGAAATTGGCAACATTTGCGCAGGTTAAACATCGGTGTATGTTATATCTCTGGTCTCTTTTATCTAAGATATTAACTTATGGTGTATGATGATGTATATGGTGCACTTATATTGTACAAATATTTTTTTTGCAGATTGGTTTGTTTATTACTATGAATCCTGGTTACGCAGGTCGAACGGAACTCCCAGAAAATTTAAAAGCACTATTTCGGCCATGTGCCATGGTGGTACCAGATTTTGCCTTAATTTGTGAAATTATGTTGGTTGCCGAAGGTTTTATGGAAGCCAGACTCTTGGCCAGAAAGTTCATCACCTTATATACTTTATGTAAAGAATTATTGAGTAAGTATTTGCTAATAGACTCAGTGCGAAATTTTTCAAACTACAGGCTCACACGATTTCTCTAGCTAAGCGACGCAGGGATGAATATCAATAGAAAAGATCCTTAAAGGATTACGACCTATACGTATTTGGGGCAGCAATTCTTTATCCGTGCGTTATAATGGAATATGTCAGAAATTACAGATGTATTCTAAATTTGTCATCCATAGAGGGGGGTGGTGGTTTAGGGCAGGGAACAGGTATTTCAAGGTAAATTAGTAGGAAATATTTTTTAATTAAACAATTTTTGTTTGTTTTACAAATCCATTTATTTTCATTAAAATCAACATATAGTTTTTAATTACGAATTCTATTAAAAATTGTATTGTCAGTATACGAAAAAATCGTTATTTGACGTTGCTGTCACGCACGGTACCAATAAGTACTCATACTCAGATACACTCAGATACTTATGAGTACTTTGTAAAGCTACTTATTGTGAAGTTCTCATAAGTACCTTAACGTAGTACTCTGCCCAGCTCTGGCTATAATTAATGGACCTCATCTGAAAACGAAGGTTCCCAAGAAACAATACAACGTCGGTAGCCATTTTAGAGGATTACTTTACATATTACAGGTTTATTCGCTATGGCCGAGAATAGTAATAAACACATTAGACTATATAATAGTAAAGCGAATTTATTAATTACAATTAAATTAGGAATGAACATCAGAAAAACTATTGATGACTCCACACTTTTGCATCATAATTATTATTTAATAAAAAATATAGAAATATCAAAAATAAAAGTAAAAAAAAATATTTAAATATTATTTGGATTAAAACTTTAAATGCGTAAATGAGTAAATAAAATGTACTGTGCGGTTAAATTTGAAAATATAGACTATACACTGAAGAAATTTTAGCCTTATATTCGTCAATATGCGTCAATATTCGTAAATATTCGTCAATATTCGTAAATATTCGTAAATATTCGTCAATATCCATCAATATTCGTCAATATTCGTCATACCCGCACATTAAATAATATATTTTTTTTAATTTGGTGTTATTGGCATCAGCTACTTAGGTCATTAGCCACGTGTTCTTTGTCACTGTTTTCCAGCGCCACTTTCTGAATAGCACTGTTAATTAAAAGCCAACAGTTAATGGTCGAGTGGGGAATCCTACTAATGCATTAGAATTAATAATTTATTAAATTAAATAAAAATTCTTGCCACAGGCGGGATTAGAACCATAGACTCTTTGCTCAAAGTCGTGACTCTAATCACTGAGCCAACTCACCCACCCAATATTATTTATAAATAGAATAATTATTTGTTCATTAAAGGACCCCGAACTTTTTACATTGATTTTGGGTACTGGCAGAATTTGTTTAAATTTTAGTATGTTATTTTTCATGTCATTAGGGGCAATTTTCTTATGAACCTCAAGTAGGCGGCTCTACAGGGTGAGTTGTAAGAACTATTCAAAAGTAGGGAGTGCAGAATTAATATTTTCAAATATATCTCCACCACTCTTTAGTATTTCTTGTCTTTTCCATGAAACTTATGTCATGTGTTACCCTTGTATATAGTTTGTTAATGCTTACTTACACTTTGCAAAATAAATTATACAGCGTGTTAAAAAAATTAGGAATATTATTTGTCTTTCTGTCACAACCTGTATTATTAATTAATATTATCTAGTATTTAATATAACAAATAAGTTATCAGAAGTCATGTTATAATTATGGTAATACATGAAAATTCACCTTATTTCTGTAATTAATATTTCTATTTTTTAAACACTCTGTATGATTTATTTTAAAATGTGACAGTAGGCATTAACAAGCCACATACAATTGTAATTTATGCCATAAGTTACACGAATAAAACATGAATTACTTAAGAGTGGTAAAGATATATATGAAAATATTAATTCTGCACTCCTTGCCTTTGAATCCTTCTGACAGCTCACCCTGTAGAGCTGCAAACTTGATGTCCATAAGAAAGTTGACCATTAAGAGTAATATACTAAAATTTTAACAAATTCTGTCAGTACCCAAAATCAATTTTGTACGTTTTTAATACATCCAGTTTTGTACGTCTTGAAGACAAACCGTATTGGACGTGTTTAAGTCGTCTATTTACTTGATGAAAATTCATTTAAAAAAAAAATAAATGAATACTTGTCTACTATATTTAATGCTGTTTATTATACATTAAAACTGACACAGAGTAAATAATATTTTACAGTGTTGGAATAAAATAATTAGAACATGACTTCAAGTACTTGTTGCTATGAGAAACTATTCCAGTTCGGTCGATTTAAAAATTTATTTTATGGTAGTAATTTTAGCCAAAGCGTTTGTAACTAATGTCTTCATAGTATATAATTTTGTTGAGTTATTGTTTTAAGGTGTTTTTCTAAAAAATAAGACATTATTAAAGTGAGGTTATGAAATTAAAAGGCAAATAAATTAAAACTTGCCGTTTTTAATGATAAAGTTTATTAGTTCCGGCATACCACAGTTCCAATAATGGCAAATAAATAATATAAAAAGAAAATATATAAAAACACCCAACCACGAAAAAGTAATGACACTGTCCACAGACTCTAAAAATATTATGCAATGGCTGTCCCGAGAAGAAGGCAGCTAGAGGAGAACACGACTCGATACGCGCGCGCGAGATTTCAATCAGCCAATGACAATGACGATCTACATGCGCTGCAGGCAACGCCAAGAATGCTGTCGTGGCGCTATATTTAAATATAGCGAAAAGAGTTGAACGTCCACATTACCGACATATTTAAAACATCCTAAAAACATCCCAACTAAGACGTTTTAAACATGTCCTGAGTCTTAAAACCGTCCGTTTTACGTACCAGGACGTTTGGACGAAAGTAATACAGGACCTTTGGACGAAAGTAATACAGGACTTGGACGTCTCTAAGATGTAGTGTGCTCTCTAGATATTATTAAATTAAGCTGGTAAGAAAAATTATACATAAATGAAGATAAATGTATTACTGACCCTTAACTAATACTAATTTGGTACAATAACAAGAAGTTTGAGCGAACAACTCTTTTTTTATATATTTTAAGTTTTTGTTTAAGAACTTTGACTTGTCTTATTTTTTTCTTTATTCTTTTCTACCTGTTGTAAAAGTTGTCTTCTAAGCCGTTTTATGCTAGGGCTTCCAAATGCAATGCTCTTCTTTTTAAGTACTACAAACAATCAATTATTACGATAATGTTTTGAATTATACACAAAAGAGTTGGTAAATTCTTAAAAATTCATAACAAAATAATGAAGAGTAATTAAAAAAATATATATGTTTAATTATGTTTATTAATATACATGCAGCCGAAGAAGGTGTTTCTTCGGCTGCATGTATTTAGAGAATTCAGGAAACATAGTGAGAACTTCTCCATTTAGTATACGTCTATTTCAGTCCGTCCCATAAAAAAAATATAATTCAAAATGTTTTGAACACTATCTATCATTTGGCATAGACATCCAATTTGCAATTTTCGTTGCCTGAATTCAAAGATTTTTTTGCTGGATCCACAGGAAATCTAAAATAAAACAACAAATAAACATTGCTGAAATTAAATACGAGGCAAATATAAATTAGAATTTAATAAAAGTTAATATTTTGAATTGTATGATACGCCACTGGAAAAAATTACATGGTTGGATATTTTAATATCATTAATTACTTAAATATCAATGAAAAGCATAAAATAAACAAACTTGGTGGGTAAAATTTATTACTCTGGAGTGAGAAATGTACAATATGTAAATACCAAGTTATATAACACCAAATAAAATGAAAAATATAATAAAATATATAAAGTGAAAACGATTGATGTTTATCATTTACCTGTAAAACGTAATGGGGTCTATTCTGTAACAATTCTTTTATATTTAACGGCCTTTAAAAATATTTTCTTCTTTACTTCTGTCATTATTTAAACGGATCTTTAAAATACATTAGAGGACTATCTTAAAGAAATCTGTTTAAATAATGACAGAAGTAAATTAACGGATACGAACATGTTTTTATATGCCGCCAATATTTTTAAAGGCCGTTAAATATAAAGGAATTGTTACAGAATAGACCCTATTATCTGCTTATTTCTTGCCGCTATAACTTTAACACTGATACGCCACACAATAAACCATTGTAATAAACCAATTATTAAATGTCGTTTAATTCAAAAATCAGAAATAAACACGAACAAAAACTTTGGTGTCACTGAAATGATTAGCACCAAAATAATGGCGGACAATAGATAATTGGCACAGAATACTACGTGTGCTCGATAAACTTGTTACACGTCCTCTCTTTATTACCTAGTCTAAGATGGTAATGTTGAAGTCTCTGTTTCTTCTTTTTTTTAAGGTAAACAGGATCACTATGATTGGGGATTACGAGCAATTAAATCAGTACTTGTGGTGGCAGGTGCATTAAAGAGAGGAGATCGACAAAGACCCGAAGACCAAGTATTAATGAGAGCATTGAGAGATTTTAATATTCCCAAAATTGTTACTGATGATGTAGCGGTGAGTTCAAATTTTATTATAGGTATTTTAAGAAAATGAACATCCTGTTTTAATTTCTCGTACTCAAGAGCGTCGAATACTGAATAATATTAATTCGCTTATTTTGTTAGGTATTTATGGGACTCATTGGTGATTTATTTCCTGCGCTGGATGTTCCCAGAAAGAGAAGTTTGGATTTCGAGAAAATGTGTAAAAAAACTGCGATTGATCTTCAATTACAACCAGAGGACGCATTTATTTTGAAGGTTGTGCAACTTGAAGAGTTGTTTGCTGTAAGACATTCTGTGTTTATAATTGGATTTGCAGGTATGTTTTGACATGATGACACGACAATTTTCTAACTGAATATAAATGTGTCCTTGGTTTTAGGCACGGGAAAGTCAATGGTATGGAAAACTCTAAACAGGACTTATTTCAACATGAAATTGAAGCCAATGTATAATGATCTGAATCCAAAAGCAGTCAGCAACGATGAGCTATTTGGAGTTATCAACCCTGCCACTAGGGAATGGAAAGATGGTTTATTTTCCGTAATAATGAGAGATCAAGCTAATTTGCCCGGGACAGGCCCTAAGTGGATAGTTTTGGGTAAGTTAAAGTATCTACTATTTATTGCTATTCTAAGAACTGGTAAATGTTACTATCCCAGTCAGACAGCGTTCGTCACAGATGCGAATATTTAAATGCCAGAATATGTTGTTAGCTAGTTTTATTATAAATTATTATGAATTATTGATAACAACTATGAATGATCACACATTGGCTATGTTGAATTTTAATGACCCATAAGGATTACGACCAGGAAGGCTTAAGCACAGCATAATAAACAATCGGCAGGCTCACTTGCCGCTGATCGCATACAAATATTATACTAAGAAAATTTGACCTTGGCGACGCCATTCGGGGGTCTTAGTCAGAGTCGTATTAAAGCGTATTTAAAGATTTTGTAATAAAATAAGGTATTGATAGGCAGGATCGTATTAAAACAAAAAAGTAAAAATTTACATAAAATATATTTTAATTTAACTTATAAAAACAGGATTAATAAAGACAATATGCTCTACAGATTGCGCCAAATAATTAGCTTGTTTTTATTGATAAATAATTCAAAATTTTGTTGAAAAATTATTTCAATTTTTGGTATTAAACATACAAAACTATTATTTGACATTTTTAAATTGCCAAAAATATCTTCATTTGCTTTTTTTTGCATAGTTTATAATAACAATACATGGAACTTGTATCCAAGTCTTCGTGTGGTAAGGCATATTGTGTACATACGTCGCAACTGTGCATTTTAAGACATTTTTTTATTAAAAATCCGCATATATAATAAAATTTTCTTAAAAAATTAATATTTTGTGCATGCAATTCATTAATATGCTTGTTTATATTTACATTTTCGACAATATTGCCACCATTACACGCGTTTTTGGAAAATGACTCATCTGTACTAGTCCTACGAATTTCATGCAGCCTTACAAGTAAAGCATCCCCCACCTGTTTCGGAGTTTTCAGTTCCAGAATGTAATAAATTTAAACATTGCAATTTTTTGAACGTCCTTTGAAATTGGACCGATGTAGAGTTTACACAGTTACCATCATGGAGGAAGGATAATTAAGAGTTGCAAATCTCACAGAAATTTGGCAGCATGTTTACCTTCAGCGACATATGGAATAGTTTTGTGAAATTAATACTCAGTCGGTAATATAGAAAGATGTAATGCTATTTTAGTTTTAAAATTGGCGGGCTTTTGAATTTACTTCGACAAAATATAAGAATTACATTTTTAATAGCATTTTTTTAATACGCATCTCAGGCGTATTAAAAAATGAAAATAAAAATGTAAAATTTTATGTTAAATAATTTTAGAAGTGTAAAATAAATAATACAAAATTGTAACAACTAAATATTATTTGTAGAATCTTTATTGGTTGCAACAATAAACATAATATACATTTTCTGAATAAACAACTATATTAAATAACATAAAACAAACAAAATTTTTCTATAATCGTGCGAAATAAAACAAGAGTTCCAGCCATAAATCCTGAAAAGAAAAACAAAAAAAAAACAAGACAGTTTATTCATATAGTTTTTTGCTGCACAACTTTGCCCAGACATAGTAAAGCACGCAAAAGTTAACAAATTAACACTGGAAAACAACTACTATATAAAAAGTGTCAAAAAATATTTACAAACTATAGGCGAAAAACCAAACACCATGTTTTTGAGGTGTTTAAATTGTTTATAACTTTTGCAATTTTTTATGCACTGCAAAATTTTTCTTCGCACATTGATTTAGACATTATTCCGAATCGAATGAGCTATTGAACATAATTTTCGTAATAGTATATCCCAAAAACACGCTTTTGAACTTGTTGATTGGACTAAATAAAGTGTATCGTGTTTTTATATTTTAATCTTTGTTTCAGATGGCGACATCGATCCAATGTGGATAGAGTCATTAAATACTTTAATGGATGACAACAAAGTGTTGACTCTTGCCAGTAATGAAAGAATTGCTTTATCCAGGAATATGCGACTTTTGTTCGAAATAGCAAATTTACGAACTGCCACTCCAGCCACTGTATCCAGAGCAGGTATTCTATACATTAATCCTGCCGATGTAGGTTGGAACCCATTCGTTACATCTTGGATTGATACCAGAACAAATCCTAGCGAGAAAGCAACTCTTACGATACTTTTTGATAAATATATACCGCCATGTTTGGAAGTAGTACGAGCAAAATTTAAAAAAATTACACCAATTGTAGATGTGGCCCATTTGAACATGTTATGTCTATTACTGGATTGTTTTATGACACCAGAAAATGTGCCACCAGATTGTCCGAAAGATTGGTATGAAATATACTTTGTGTTTTCTATTATTTGGGCATTTGGTTCAGCTCTATTTCAAGATCAGATCACAGATTGGCGAAATGAATTCAGCAAATGGTTTTTAAATGAATTTAAAAGCGTAAAGTTTCCACCGGGTGGAAATGTCTTCAGCTACTACATAGAAAAAGAATCGAAAAAGTTTTCTCCATGGACTGATTTGGTACAAGAGTTTGAATTAGATCACGAGGTTCCCCTGCAAGCAACTCTAGTAAATACAGCTGAAACTACCAGAATTAGGTTCTTTATTGATCATTTGATGGCTAAGAAATGTCCAGTAATGCTGGTAGGTCCTGCTGGCAGTGGAAAAACAGTATGTGTACAGGAAAAATTAAATTCTTTATCGGAAGCTTTCGCTGTTACGAGTGTACCTTTCAATTTTTACACAAATTCAGAAATGCTACAAAGTATCCTTGAGAAACCTTTAGAGAAAAAAGCAGGTAGAGTATTTGCTCCTCCCGGAACTAAAACTATGATATATTTTGTGGATGACATGAACATGCCTGAAGTAGACAAATATTATACTGTCCAACCTCATACACTATTAAGGCAATATATGGATTACCAACATTGGTACGATAGAATAAAACTGTCTATGAAAGAGATTCACAATATACAGTTTATATCATGTATGAATCCGACAGCTGGCTCATTTACAATTAATCCTAGATTACAAAGGCACTTTTGCGTTTTTTCAGTCGGTTTTCCGTCTCAAGAAGCTTGTTTGCACATTTATAACTCTATCTACAGTCAGCACATAGCTACTCCATCAAAAAAATTCGTTCCCGGTCTCGAAAAAGCTGCTAGTGATGTAGTTTACGCAGCTTTATTAGTTCATTTAAAAACGAGTACCACCTTTTTACCTACAGCTGTAAAGTTTCATTATACCTTTACTTTGAGAGACTTATCGAACATTTTTCAAGGAATGCTTTTCGCCACTGGTGACGCTACTAGAACTAGTACCGATGTGATGAGGTTATGGATGCACGAGGCAAGCAGGGTATACAAAGATAAATTAGTTGATCGAAGGGATCAATTGAATTGGACTAAAATGTTGGCGGATTTGCTCAAGAAAAGTTTTGATAGTTTAGATGAAAATTTGGTTTTCCAACAACCATTAATATTTTGCCACTTCGCCGATGGTATTGGTGACCCAAAATATATGCCTATACAAGATTTTCCACAACTTAGTCGTCTTCTTAATGAGGCTTTGTCAGGCTATAATGATCTTGTAGGTTCTATGAATTTGGTTCTATTCGAAGATGCTATGTATCATATTTGCCGTATCAATCGTATAATGGAATCGCCAAGAGGAAATGCTTTACTAGTAGGAGTGGGCGGTTCCGGTAAGCAATCGCTTAGCCGATTAGCTTCCTTTATTTCATCATTTGAAGTGTTTCAAATTCAATTAAAAAAAGGTTATTCTATGGCCGACATGAAAGCGGATATAGCGAGTTTATATATTAAGATTGGTCTTAAAAGCATAGGTATAACGTTTCTAATGACCGATGCTCAAGTACCGGAAGAATCTTTCTTAGTCCTTGTTAACGATATGCTAGCTTCTGGAGAAATAAATGGTCTTTTAACCGATGAAGAGGCAGAAAACGTCATAAATACAGTTCGAGGCGAAGTTAAGGGAATGGGATTACAAGACACTAGAGAAAATTGTTGGAGATTTTTCATTGATCGAGTGAGAAAATTATTAAAAATTGTTCTATCATTTTCTCCTGTCGGTTCAATCTTAAGGGTGCGAGCTAGAAAGTTTCCAGCTTTGGTTAATTGCACTTCCATCGACTGGTTTCAGGAATGGCCTCAAGAAGCTTTACAATCTGTTTCGAGCAGGTTTTTGGCTGAAATAGCAGTTCTACCCGAAAGTTTAGCTGAATCTGTTTCTTTATTTATGTCTTACGTTCATACTGTAGTAAATGATATATCTGGACAGTATCTTTTGAACGAGAAAAGGTACAATTATACAACTCCCAAATCTTTCCTGGAACAAATCGATTTATACAGCAAGTTACTTACAGAAAAAACACACGGGGTGGTGAATAATATTTACCGATTAGAAAACGGTATAACAAAATTAGTTTCAACTGGTGAAGAGGTAGATGGTCTCAAAGAAGTTTTAGCAGTTCAGGAGGTAGAATTGACTGTTAAAAATGAAGCTGCAAGTAAACTTATTGCCGTATTAGCTGCTGAGAATGAAAAAGTGGCTGGTGAACAAGCTATCGCTACTGAAGAAGAAGGTAAGGTAAGACAGATTGAAGAGGATGTATTAAATAAAGCGAAATTGTGCGAGGAAGATCTGGCTAGAGCTGAACCTGCTTTGATGGCGGCTCAAGAAGCACTGAATACTCTAAATAAAAATAATCTAACGGAATTAAAATCTTTTGGTTCTCCTCCCGAAATTGTGAAGCACGTTTGCGCAGCTGTATTAATATTGTTTTCTAAAAAGGGAAAAATTCCCAAAGACAGACAATGGAAAGACTGTAAACTGATGATGAATAAAGTTGATGATTTTCTAAATAACCTTATAAATTATGACAAAGATAATTTGGCTGCTGAGGTAGTAAAAGTCGTTATGGAATATGTAAAAAATCCAGAATTTCAACCCGACAAAGTAGCTACAAAATCACTGGCCGCTGCTGGGCTTTGCTCGTGGGTTCTGAATATCCTAAAATACTACGATGTTTTTCAAGTTGTAGGCCCTAAAAGAAGAGCACTAACCCAAGCTACTAAAGATTTAAACGCAGCTAGAGACAAATTACACGAACTTCATGAAAAACTAGGTATTCTTGAAGAGCAATTAGGTCTCTTAAAGGCTGATTATGACGATGCTATAAACGAAAAAATGAAATGTCAAGCTGAAGCAGATGCAACAAATATGAAAATAGATATTGCTAATCGTCTTGTAGGAGGTTTAGCATCAGAAAACGTGCGTTGGCGTCAACTAATAGAGGATTATAAGTTAATGATAATTACTTTACCTGGTGACATTTTGCTAGTCACAGCATTCATCTCGTACGTAGGTTGTTTCACAAAGAATTATCGTGTCGATATGGTTAATAAGTTTTGGATTCCATATTTGGGTACAATGGACATGCCCATTCCAATGACTGAAGGTTTGGATCCTTTATCTTTATTAACGGATGATGCCTCAATTGCAGCGTGGAATAATGAGGGCCTACCGACTGACCGTATGTCAACGGAAAATGCTTGTATTTTAACGAATTCTGCTAGATGGCCTTTGATGATTGATCCTCAATTCCAGGGAGTTAAATGGATTAAAACAAGATATGCGAGCGAATTGACCACAGTAAGACCGACAGCCAGAGGATATATAGATAAATTAGAAAAATGCATTACAGGAGGACAGATTTGCCTTCTAGAAAATATTGGAGAAAATTTAGACGCTGTTTTAGATAATGTACTTGGAAGGGTTTTGGTGAAGAAAGGAACTATCGTAAGAGTTGGTGACAAGGAAGTTGATTGGAATCCGAATTTCAAATTGATTCTCCACACCAAATTGGCAAATCCGCATTACAAACCTGAAATTCAGGCGCAAGCGACATTGATTAATTTCACCGTCACTCGCGATGGTTTAGAAGAGCAACTTCTAGCAGAAGTGGTGAAAGCAGAACGGCCCGATTTGGATGTTAAGAAATCGGAATTAACCAAACAACAAAATAATTTTAAAATTACTCTTAAAAATTGTGAAGATAACTTACTATATAGATTGTCTTCTGCTACTGGTAATATTCTAGAAGATGTTGAATTGGTTACTAATTTAGAAGTTACAAAAAAGACGGCTATGGAAATTGCAATAAAAATGGAAGAAGCCAAAATTAATACGATAAAAATTGATGAAACAAGAGAATTTTATCGTCCTTGTGCAGCTAGAGCTTCTCTTCTATACTTTATTCTAACCGATTTAAATAGAATTAATGCTATATACCAATTCTCTTTGAAAGCTTTTAGTGTTGTTTTTATAAATGCTTTAGCTTTGGCCCCTCCTGCAGAAACATTAGAAGAACGAGTCGCAAACCTATTAGATAGTATTACTTTTGCAGTATTTATGTACACTTCTAGAGGATTGTTCGAAAGAGATAAATTAACGTTTACGGCTCAAATGGCATTTCAAATATTACTTAACCAAGGTGAATTGGATCCTATAGAACTTGACTTCTTATTGAGATTTCCCGCCCAGGTTGGTCTAATATCTCCCGTTGACTTTTTAAGCAATATTTGTTGGGGTGGTATCAAAGCTTTGGCCGATTTAGCTGAATTTCAGAAATTGGACAAAGATGTCACAGGATCTGTTAAACGTTGGCAGAAATTTGTAGACAGTGAATGTCCCGAAAAAGAAAAACTGCCTGGAGATTGGAAAAATAAGACACCCCTCGAGAGACTTTGCGTAATGCGTTGTTTAAGACCAGACAGGATGACTTATGCAGTAGCCACTTTTATCGAATTGAGTATGGGAAGTAAGTACGTTACCGCAAGGAGTGTTGAGTTTTCTAAATCTTATGAAGAAACCAGTTCTTCAACTCCCGTGTTCTTCATCCTATCACCTGGTGTTAATCCTTTAAAGGACGTGGAAGCTTTGGGAAAAAAATTGGGATTTAGTTTCGACGCACGAAATTTTCACAGCATCTCTTTGGGGCAAGGTCAAGAGGTTGTAGCCGAAAGTGCAATGGACGTTGCCGCTGTACATGGTCACTGGGTCATTTTGCAAAATATTCATTTGGTCGCCAGTTGGCTTGCTAATTTGGAAAAAAAGATGGAACAATGTGCTGATGGTGGAAATGAAAATTACAGGTAACGTTTTATTTCAGATTGTTTTTTTTTTATATTTTAAATTACGCTATAAAGTATTTTATTATTTAGGTCTATCTGCCATAATACTCTGTAAACGTGATGACCAATTTATAATATATGATTCTCCGCACCTCATATTTAAATGAATGCTATGGTATTGTTGAGAAAGTACAAATTCTGAAATGGCATGTTTACGACATATTGAGTTGCCTTCTTTTTTCGTTTTCTCAATTACCATTTAAAATCTCTAATTTTACCTTAGTTCAAAAAAGTGTTAAATTTCTATTGTTTATTTCAGTACCACATCAATTTTTTTTACACAATTTTTACCATTTATATAAATCTTGTGTTTAATATGTAAGCGGTATTATAATATGGATCCATATTATTCTGCAATTTATACAATTTGCAATAAGATTTTTGTATTATAGGCCTCTCCTCGTGAGACCGAAACTATTGATTTTAAAATATTCTTCAATTCAATAAATAATTATTTTCTATCTCGTTTTTTATAGGTTATATCTTAGTGCTGAACCAGCAGGAGATCCTCAAGTATGTGTCATACCTCAAGGAATTCTAGAATCTTCTATTAAAATCACCAATGAACCCCCTACAGGTATACTTTGATTTATATTAATGTTTTTTTACTTGGCAAACAAATTCGCTACCGTTAACGTATAACACTTAACTGCACTATACTCTGCTTTAACATCACTGAACTAACTCAAAAGGCTTGGTTCTCTCGAGTCTTCTTATGAGATTGTTGAGCTGGATAATCTCAAGGTTTCCATGTTGGAGCAGTCGTTGTATTTTCAACAGTCTCCACTTTAAGGTCTCTATGAAGATCAGTATTGTGGCAGTATATACCAGGGTGCATCGACTATGTTCTTTAATACTTTATTCTGGAAATGTTGAATAACTTGGATGGTACTTTTACTGACACATCCCCAAAGCTGGCAAATTGCTTCATTTCCACGAATTCCTTTAAATGCACTAATCTGAAACAAATTAAAAAAGATTTATACATGCCTTTCAACTGGCTGTAGAACTAATAAATAAAACTGGTGTAGGACTCAATTTCTAATAAAGACATATTCTGTTTCCCATATAACAACAGCACAACTACTGTTTTCGATTCTGACAATATCTTCTTATCTATTTTTAACTATAACAAACATCATATATAAATCTTCTGGTGAAATTGAACTCAAATTCTCGTTATTAGGTATGTTCGCCAATTTACACAAGGCACTGGATAATTTTAGTCAGGAAACTTTAGAGATGTGCAGTAAAGAGTCTGAGTTCAAGGCAATACTCTTTGCGTTGTGCTATTTTCACGCGGTAGTAGCAGAAAGAAGAAAATTTGGACCTCAGGGATGGAATAGAAACTATCCTTTTAACGTAGGTGATCTGACCATCAGTGCAGCGGTTCTGTACAATTATCTGGAAAACAATACCAAGGTTAGTGCAGATTTCATAAAATATAAGGTTTCAGCAGGCGTTTCTAAACTATTTAATAAACGTAAGCATGGAAGCATTTTAGTAGTAATTCAAAATTTATTTTACACATTGTTAGCATAAATGAGTGTGTAGTTATTTTATTAATAGGACTATTAAATACTTCTAATACAAGATTAGTTAGGAGCTAAATAATAAATAATTCGGCTTCTGTTGATTCTTAAAAAGGTTCCCAAATCTTCGACCGCTCTCGAATAATATTGAGACTATTTTCGTACGAAACAAGGTAGGAATGAATTGATTACAAAAATCCTGTGTGTATTAGCAAAAAATTTAGGATTTCGTTCAAAGTTTAAAATTATTTTGCAATGTGCCTTAGTCGCAAGCCATTATCAGTGCTCGTGCACAATAAAAATACCGTGTCTTTTTTTTCCACCGGTTTGTTGGAGTCGCTGTTTCACCGATGTGACCTTGAACGCCTTGTGTTGGATTTGGTTTATTTATGGTTGACCGTTGAAATAAACAACGGTTGACATTTTGCATTAAAATTTGTGTTTGTAATTTTATTTTAATGTACCTACCTTGCCTTAATAAGAAAGTATGTATTTTTAAAAGCCCATAGAACAATTAAATAATTAATTAACTCCTTAATTCTGCTTAATTCCCGCAAACCAGCTGTCAGTTGTCATATCTAATCGAAAAAACTAATGGATTGGTGTTGAATCGATTGCAGCAACGTTGGATAAAAGACATCATCGATAGATTGATTGAAAAAAAAAAAGGTAAATATCGCACTGATGCCAACGTTGCTACTACATTTGGATAAAAAGATACACGTATTGTTTTTGTAACCTTTCTTCACATTTATTTGCAATATTCGGGCATAACGCTTAAATCTTAACAGTTTTCTTTGAATAGACTCTTTTGCTTACGTAAATAATGGTCTTCCGGGTTTGGAAAAGCCTGCTGGAACAATCTAGTATAGAAAATTTATTTTGAATTAAAATATGCAAATTGAGTTTTCTTTCTTTACTCTACATGGAGGTATATCAAAACAAGGTTAGTTATTTCATACTGAACTTAATACCCTCAACTAATATTTTACATAATCTATATATGGTTATGTTAATTTTACATGCAACGATTTTTGTTGTACGATAAAAAGTCGTATGATAATTTATCGTATCGTAATTCCTTTCACGCACACAACAACGATTTTTACTGTTGTTGTTTGAGCTCAATATTGAATGACACGATTCTTATGTACTTCTTCACGCCACTAATGGAATGTGGTCGTACGACTTTTTATCGTACGACCAAAGGGGCCTTAGTGAATGGTTACACTGGATGCAGATACGTACGATTTTTTAGTCGTGCGATATCATAAGACCGTTTGTCGTACGATTGTGTGGTTACATTGTTTGCGATTCGTTGCATTCGTAGTTTTAATTCAAAATGGATGACGAAGGGGATTTAGATTTCCTTAAAAAAAGTTGTTTGAAATTTATGATGTTAAATAAAAAATAAAATATTGTGTTAATGATATGTACTTAAGGAGAGACCAGGAAGGGGAGTACGTAACCCTTTTCAAGGAGTTAAGCAAGCAGCCACAAAAGTTGAGTACTTTAGAATTTTGCCTTCAACATTTAATTATATACTTAATAGAATCCATCAACGACTCGAAACATATTCTAATTTTCGATTAGAAAATAAAACTTTTTGCGTACCAAAGGATCAAACTATTCCAAATACAGATATTATCATTCCTAAGAATTTATTTACTGTAATTTTAGATTAATTATCTATATGCTTTTTGTTAAACCGTTTTCTTCCAAATGTACTGCTGTTCTGTAATTGGGTTTAACCTGTTGAACAATGTGTAAATAAATAAATAAATAACTAAATAAATAAATATGTGTTCTTGGACGATGAAGCCTATCTTTTAAAAGTGTATTTAATGAGACCATATTTTGGTCGTAACCTTAGTGAACAAGAAGAGATTTATAATTATAGACTATCCCGAGCAAGGAGGATTGTTGAATGTGCATTTGGCATACTATGTTCCAAGTGGAGGATCCTCAAAAAAGACACAATGCCATCCAGACAAAGCAGATATGATTGTTAAATGCGCTTATATTCTTCATAATATAATTATTGATAAAGAAAGATGTATCGAAAATAATTTTAAAATGAACTCTGAGGTAATAAGTGTTACTTGTTTCTTTCATTTTCTTTGCTATCTCTTCCCATCCTTTTTTTATTACAACTCTATTATGATAGTCTTTACATGTTTGACCCAACAACGGCTTTCTCGAATTAACTTTACAAAATCTCAATTATTATTGAATGTGACCCAGGTGTCAGCTTTCTATATCGTTAATATCGTACGATGTCGCCGAGAAAAACAAACGCGTTTGTTCTTCTCGCCTAGTCGACCGACATCGTACGATATCAACCGACTAAAACGCAGTTTATAGGTCTGTTCGGGTTCTTTAAAATACATTGAAAACTATCAGAGGACTAGTTGACCAGTGGACAGTTTAATAGTTGTGTGCGACGTATACTTTAGAAATGAACTGTTCCACTAGTTCTCGGACGGTTTGCATCGAGTTTTAAGGAAACCCGAACAAGCCTAATGTAACCGTACACCTTAAATCACTTAGTTTGTTTTTACGTCCGACAGCGTACGACTAAAAAATCGCAACTATCTGCATCCAATGTAACCATTCACTTAGTAATGATTAACTTAGGATAATAACAACTATCTTGTGTTAAAATTTCATAGAATTGATTGATTTCTGAAAATTTTCACTGCTTTGGATTGTTCTTAAAAAGCCGATTTCAAATCACTTGAATAGTAGTAATCAATATATATTTTTGTAGTCCAATCAAATAGACCTTTAAATCAAAATTTTGGAGGAAATACAGGAATTTTTGATATAAGTCACTTTAGAGTATTTGAAAACGATATGTAAAAAAAATTTGTTTTTCAGGCACCGGCAAATGTCAAAAAACAAGAAAATAAAGTGCTTTTTAAAAAAATCTTAATAAAGATTGTAAAGCATAAAGTTCTACATAAAAATGATATTTGACATTTTTTGCTATTATTAAAACTGACAGAGTTAAGGTGGTTAGAAATTAATAAAAGATGTATATGATTTAGAAAAATCATAGCGAGCTGAAAATTATATGATTTTGTAATCCCTTTTTATTATTTGCTCAGAAAATTATAAATTTCTTTTAGGAAAAATTATTTTTTTTAAGTTATAACAATTTTAATTTAGAAATGTTCAATATATTATACGAATTTATATAATAAAATAAATTTTGAAGTAAACTTATTAGCTTGACTCACATGAAAAATATGAGGAGTCAACTAATAAAAACGACATCCCGACAGTTTGGTCCCCACTCGAAGTTCCATTAAATAAATAAAAATAAAAACAAATAAAAAAGAACTAAATAAAAATATTAAAAAAAATAAAAATGAAAATAAATATAATAAAAAATGAATATTTATTTTAATTTATTTTAATTTATTTCATTTTTATTTTTTTTATATTTTTATTTAGTTCTTTTTTATTTGTTTTAATTTTTACTTATTTAATGGAACTTCAGGTGGGTACCAAACTGTCGCGATGTTGTTTTTATTAGTTCACTTCCTATATTTTTCATGTCAGTCAAGCTAATAAGTTTACTTCAAAATTGACCATATAAATTCGTACAATTGAAAATTTCTAAATTAAAATTGTCATAACTTAAAAAAACAAAAAAAATAATTTGTCTTAAATAAAATTTATAATTTTCTGAGTAAATAATAAAAAGAAACTACAAAATCATTGAGTTTTTCAGCTCGCTATGATTTTTCCAAGCCATATATTTCTCCTCTTAATTTCTAACCACCCTAACTCTGTCAGTTTTAATAATAGAAAAAAATGTCAAATATCATTTTTATGTAAAACTTTATGCTTTACAATTTTTATTAAGAACTTTTTTTTATAGTACCTACCATTTTTAAATAACCTTAAAAAACACTTTATTTTCTTGTTTTTTGATATTTGCCGGTGCCTGAAAAACAAAATTGTTATACTTATCGTTTTCAAATACTCTAAAGTGACTTATATCAAAAATTCCTGTATTTCCTCCAAAATTTTGATTTAAAGGTCTATTTAATTGGACTATTTGCTCATTTTCTGCATTTTATTTATTATCCTACAGTAGTTTATCATAATTCTTCTTTACTGTTGTAACTTATTTAATTAAATCGATTCTATAATGCATAAATTATTATAACGCCATAAAGAAGTAGGACTCAAAATTTGATATTCTTAGATCGAAATTATTCGAATGGTCGAATATTCGAATAGTCGAATATTCGAATATTCGAATAGTCGAATATTCGAATAGTCGAATATTCGAATAGTCAAAATTTATTTTGAATTTATTTATATAATTTAAATGTTTTTTATCTATTGCTTAAAAATAAAGACAGAAGAAAAACTACTAACAAAATTCAGACTAGGGAATCGGGACTATTACTTTATGGCAACATTGTAATTTTTTTATTACCTTGTAGCGCTGGCGTTTTATTTGGTTAATGAGGGGAATCACCAACATTGTTTCGCATTCGCACTTTTCACGCTTGTTTATTTTTATTAGTTATTTTATTTCTATTAGTGTGTATATGTCTGTCAACGCTTGCCCACCACAGGTGTTAAATGTGAGTTTAGAACGCAGTAAGGTTTGGCTTTACTTCGATAAAAAACAAAAAAGCATGTGCAGTGTAAATTATGTACTTACAATGTCATATACAGAAGTAATACCAGTAATTTGTGGAATCAATTAGGAACCAAGCATCATACCATAATAAACAGGTATAAATTATACGTTAATCGAATAATCAAATACTCGAATATTCGAATACTCGTATTCGAATAGTGAATAATTTGGGTATTCGAATGAAGTTTCAAATGAATATTCGAATAGAAAAATTTTGAAATTTCGAGCCTTATAAAGAATAATTTTAATTGGCACAGGTTTTTATCGCTATCTTATCATCGCCCTTCTTGTTTAACTTAAACTATTGGTTTAAAAAATTGTTAGTCCTACAAAGTCAACTGACCTAGCGCTGGACGATCTAAACAGGCTGCTTTTAAAGTCAACAGCAGATAAAGTGATCGCAATAGCGTCTTTCTTAGATATCGAAGGAATTTTCAATAATGCCACAACCAAGTCAATAACGAAGGATCTAGAACAGTGAAAACATAGAAAACTCCGCCATTTTGAACCCTTATTACGTGTTGCCTACATCTTGGCGCAATATTTTTAATAGGTGCGTTTTAATCATCCGCTTCTGCTTCGGAATTGTCGGTTTTCTTGTTTTAATTTGACAGGTTAAAACGACTAAACCGACAATTCCGAAAGCAAAAGCGGATGACTAAAACGCACCTGATATTTTGCTTGCTGCTGTCAGTGTCAGTGAATATTATTTTTGAAGTCACAGTTTATTGCTAAAGAATCAGTTAGCTCACTCGGACCAGATGAAAATTTCAAAATAACATCCACTCCAGGGCTACAAATTCAGAATACGCAGAAGACTGCTATTTTATTATAGGCGGTTGTCATATATTGTATTATCCCAGTTGCGCAGTGTATAAACTGGAACATTGAGATGAAAAGTGCCGACGCAGAGTGAGCGATCTGATTCTTTAGCTATAAACTGTGTCATAGGAATCAAAATAGCCGCGCCCTATGTTGGGCGTGTCGGACCTCTCTCTTGCCCCGTATAGTAATCAAAGTATGTGGTTGGACTACTCTTTAGACATACTCCATAATCAAGAACGCTGTTGATAAATTATTATTAACATAATTATAGGAAAATATAATTACCTATATTGCAATGTAATTTTTTAAATGAAATTGTATCAACAAGTCGACAAACTAGATATATCCAATCCAGTGGTACTACATATTTTTAAGCATGCTGTACTTTCGTACGATACAAGCGCTTTGTACGGATTTATTGAACAACAACGCCACATACATTGCATCGTCCGTGGATCGTTTAAAAGTTCTTAGAAAAGTGCTTAGAAAATCGATATATCATTACTTTTGCTAGAGCATGAGCATGAGTAAGTCTATTACTATTACTAGATAGATTCTTTTGTAATATAAATGATTTTTTATTATTATTATTATTATTATTATTATTATTATTATTATTATTATTATTATTAATTATTATTATTATTATTATTATTATTATTATTATTATTATTATTATTATTATTATTATTATTATTATTATTATTATTATTATTATTATTATTATTATTATTATTATTATTATTATTATTATTATTATTATTATTATTATTATTATTATTATTATTATTATTATTATTATTATTATTATTATTATTATTATTATTATTATTATTATTATTATTATTATTATTATTATTATTATTATTATTATTATTATTATTAATTATTATTTATTATTATTATTATTATTATTATTATTATTATTATTATTATTATTATTATTATTATTGTTATTATTTAGGTGCCTTGGGAGGATTTGCGTTACCTTTTTGGAGAAATAATGTACGGAGGTCACATTACTGATGACTGGGACCGTAGATTATGTAGAAGTTACCTCTTAAACTATATGCAACCCGAACTCCTTGACGGAGAACTCTTGTATGCTGAAGGTTTTCAATGTCCTCCAAACTTGGATTACGCAGGTAATATAAGATTGGAAATATGTTGCATTTTGTACCTTCGTCATTCATGCTTTTAAATAATTCTTCATTTATTTCTGGTAATCGAAGTCCAATGTACCTAAATTAGTCACACTCACAAACAGTCGCTAAAACGAATTGTATTTATAATTACTCCAAAGTTTTGCTCTCAATCACTAAACATTATCACCGAGATGTGAATATTGTTTCCAATGCTCACTTTAACATATAACTAAGAGCTGGAGAGAAATTTGAATGAATGAATCCTAAAGAGTAACATAACGGCGGAAAATTTTACATATATTTTCGTTCGAGCCATTTTCGACCATGCTCTAATCCAGAGGTTCTCAAACTTATTTTGCCCACCGCCCACTTTGAGAATAAACATTTGTGTAGCCCCCCCTCCAAATTTTTTTAAATTATAATAAATTTGAGTAAGTATCTAAAAAACTGTAATAGAACATAAAGAAAACAAAATTTAACCCAACTTCAAAAAATTTACTAAGAGGTACAAAATAATTAATTTTATTACAGTTAATTAATAATAAATACATTATTCACCCTCTCTGGGATGGGACTAACTTGGAGAACTCCCGCACAAAATGAGCCTAAAAACATAATCCGTCAAGTGGTTCCCAAAAAATTCGCGATCATACATAAAAAAAGGCCAACGACGAATATAGAATTTTCTTTTTTAAAGTCGGTTAAAAAGATACGAGTTTAGGACATTACGATGAAGATATCTTGTTTCTGAACTTAAATAGGAATGTTTTTTTTTTCTCAGAAAGGAATAAACAAAAAATGATACACACCCACATTTAAAAATATTTTTATTGATATTTAAAGATTGCTTTGATAGTCCAATAAATGAAGGACTGAAAAGATCGAAAGCTGTAAAAAAATCGCTGATGAGTTCCCACGTAGCTCAATTTGTAGGTCATCGCAGGTGTTTTTAAATGAGAAAATCCTTAACGCGTTCTTGGTACCGGAAGGGGCTGAAAATGGACCCCTAAACTCTGAAAAACGGGTTTCCCGCTAATATGCCAATTAGAGAATTTTTGTTCAGATAAAAATGAAGATCAGCTCATTCTCTACAAAAATGATTTCTATATTTTGGACTTTAGAGACCAATTGCAAATGGCGCCAGCACCTTTGCTCTTCTCGCTAAATTACGGAGTTCGTAAATGAAAATCTCGGAAATAATCGATTATTCGACGATTACTGGCGGATTTCACCTGATTTTTTTTCTACAAAGTAGCGCTTGGGCTCTCTCAATTTATTAGCGAATGTTCTGTGCAATTTGAGTTGCAAATTTACCAGAAAATTGCAAAAAATTATTTTTCCTTGTGTCAAGGTCTTTTGGCTAAACGCTAATGACAACTTTTAGAGCGTGGTGAATATTCACCATATAACCATTCTAAATATTTTTCGCATTTTTGCGATTTTTTTGCAAACTTTTTTCGGAATAATATAGGTGCAGGATTTGGGAAAAATACGCAAGTCTTTGAAAAATTACATTTATTTGGAAGAATTGGTTGGATATAAAACATACATAACAACCTTTAGGGTGTGGTCAACCACTATATGTCATCAGAATCCTATACATATTCTTCATCGTCAACGGCATTCCCGTCGCCTACTCCCTCTTGCTCCATTTCTACCCTTTCCCCTGTCGTTCTTCTCTTCCTCCAGCTGTATTTCTGCCTCCTCACTTTGCAACCATTCTGTCTCTTATTATCGCATCTCTCCTTGCTCACTCGAATCAAATTTTCTAAACCAGGAATAACATTTACACCGTCATCCACAACACCCTCCTTACAAAGAAAGCATTCTGTAACGGAATCGGCTTCCATTTCAACAACACCAAGAGCTACCAAAAAATAGCTGATCCAACCGTTAGAATAATTACACCAAGTTTTTTAAGTTGAGGCAAAATAAAACGAACCCTATTTTCTGCTTCCAACAAAAAAATCCTTGAATATTTCTTTCCTGTAGACAAGAATAACGTGGAAATTTCTCACTTTAAACACTTCTTCTTTTTTTTATAACTGAATTAATTTAATGAAAAATATTTTATTTTAAATAAATAATTCAAAATAAATAATGAAAAAATATCATCAGTACATAAATAATCTGGTCAGGCCGACGCGACGACTCTAAAACAGAGATTGTATCAATGAAATGGAGAGGGGTAGGATGATAACTGTCAATGAAAAAGTCTAGACACTATGCACAATTTCGTTTTGCACATTTTGTGAACAAAATTCAGGGACGGTTTAACAACATTTTGTGCAACAATTATAAAATAGTGCATCGGAAAATAATTAACAAGTATAATTTAATACTAAATTGAAATAAAAGCATAAAAAATCACAAATATACGCAAGATAACAAAGAATTGACGCCAAAAAAAGCTTACAACAGCCACAAAACAAACAAAAAACAGAGCTGAACATGAACATAATCGCTGAACAGAGCCAATCATGGAATTTGTTTACAGTGCTTTAGGGCAACCTCTCCTTGTCATTTACATGTATAAGAGTGGAAGGTTGAATCACGCATAATTTCTACACTCGTGATGGATGCGCAGACGGTACTTTATCGTTCTACCCTCTCTACTTCTTTGGATTGTATACAAACACATGCAGACAACTATCGCCGCGTGGGTACACGAAGTTAGGTTATATAAAATATCATGGATCTCAGAGGGGGAGCGTAAAAATGAAGTATATAATTGTAACAACCTTTTTAGAACCAAGAACGGATATGGGGATTGACTTAAATCAATGGAAAGGTCAGAATACAAGCTTTACTTTGATCTAGTTATTAATCCTCAAAAAATAAAGAGCGGGGAACAAGAAATGGTTAAACAAAAAAAGGCCGGTTTGCACTCGTGTGTTCAATTTTTCTCATTTCTTGAAAATTAAAAATAAAAAAATATATTCAAAAAGTATACCATCTAAGCTTTAAAATGATGTGCATTGGAAATCAATATAACGGATCATAAGATTATAATTCGCGCTTGTTCCGAATATTCTATGGAACTCCGAAATCGGCTAAAATATGTAAATAAACAAATCAATTTTGTATTAAAACGCAAGAAAAGTATTAAAAAAAAATTTCTGAGATCATTCAAGACTCCCCAAGGTCGCATTATAAAGGCAAAATGACTCTTTAAAGAAAATATGAATAAATTAATGAAGCAGTCTCTAAATATGGTTGAAAAAAATTTTGACCGCTTTTTTAAATATTTTTGGCAAATACGAACTGACTTTATATCACACGGAATTGTAGGTACGGGTTTTCCAATTGCGATGAACTTTGAATCATCGAAAAATATCAATTTTTGCCCATGAGGGGAAATTTGAGTGCCATTATTTCGAAAACTATTGAATTTTTGAAGAAAATGATAAGGGCCATTTTTGTAGATAATTAGCTGATCTTCATTTTTTGTCTGAACAAAAATTCTCTAATTGGCATATTCAGTCAGATATTAGCGGGAAACCCATTTTCCAGGTTTTAGGGGTCCATTTTCAGTCCCTTCCGGTACCAAGAACGCGTTAAGGATTTTCTCGTTTAAAAACACCTGCGATGACCTACATATTGCACTATGTGGGAACTCATCAGCGAATTTTCTACAGGTTTGATCCTTCAGTTACTGGACTATGAATTTAACATTTAACTCTTAACTAATGTGAGGGATGAATCTGATGCAATATTGGGGTCAAAGTCACTTAAAAACAGGCGTAAGTCTCCGCGTTCAGTAACATGCAGCCTATTTATTTCTCTTCTTAGTTAGCAGAGTTATTACTACACTAAATCCACGCTTAGATAAATACGATGACGGGAATGCTATTAGGAATCGTTGAACCGTCGACCATAATCCAGGATACAGTTGTGGGATTGGCTTCTGCAACCAAAATTCGTGAAAACCATTTTTGAATTTAATTTTTAATACCTCGTTTCTTGTCTGTTCTACAAGTTCTTTTTCCAACTGGGATGATCCTGCTGTGTCGACATTTGAAAAAGGATCTAACGCCCAGGCTGGTATGTCTTGCTCAAAATGTCCTGGAATCGTTCTTTGAATTCAGCCTTAATATTCTCCAAGAATTGACAGTAAACAAGCGAGTCATCATTGTTGATGTTGGAAGATATTGCTAATAAACTCGGAAAGTTATTAAATTCACGCCTGCCTATATTTCTTTTGTAAAGTTGCAGTTTGGCCACGAAATCAACAACATTTTTTGTTTTAATCAAGTCGTCGCGTTGTCCTGAACAATTTGTAGAGGTCTGTCAAGTAGGCAATATCATCCTTTGGAGGTTATCGCGTAATTATCTGTCTTTGTTTCCCAGGAACTCTATCACAGAATCAAACAGATTGTAAAAGCGAGCCAAACAAATACCTCTTGATAACCAGCGCACTTCTGCGTGAAGCAACAAACGGTTGAAATCTTCATCATTGGCAACGCCAAGCTTGACTAAATAATCTGTCATTCAGTAAGTTGCTTCCTTAGATAAAAGAGACCAGAGATATAACATACACCGGTGTTTAACCTGCGCAAATGTTGCCAATTTCCAAAGAAAGGTTAACGGAGTGGGGGAACTGGGCGGCGACCCGAACTCTGTGACAGGGACCGGACTAGCATCATAATGAACTATTAGATTTATTTAAAAGATGTTTAATGGAATTTTGTATCATGATTTTTTAATATCAAACAGATGCCACGACATTTTATGAAAAGAGAAGACCTTTTATAGAATATTTCGTTAGCGTTTATTTACTACGGAGTTTTCTGAAAGAGATTACAGTAAAATGTTGAAATAGAATATTGTTAATAGAGCAAGACATGGTACTCATTGTCTATGAGTATTATAAAAAAAGCATGTGCGCAGGAAAATACTGCAAATCTAATCTTATGAGTTGAACATTATATTTTTTCTACGGCTATTACATAATATTAAAAATTAGTCAAAATGAGAAAATGCTGATTTGTATTGTAACTTCAGAAAAAGGTATATTAAGGCTTCTTTCTGTAGGAATATTAATTATTATAGAGGATGAGTCACATAAAACTCTAGAAATGCATGTCTGAAACAAGAACATTTTAAAATTTAAATCTATTGAAAGTCATTTGGTTGCTAGGGGTGGGTGATTATCGAAATTTATCGATCATTGAAAATAATCGATTATTTTCTATCAATCGATTATTTTCAAGCAATATATTTTTGTCATATTTTCTTTAAAATCGACTACTTGATTATTTTTGAATAATAAATAATAATAAATAATAACCGAATGATCGATTTTCATCTAATATTCTTATAAAAATAAAATTTAGCTAGCAACTATGCTTCTTTACTTCTTATTTATCTACCAAAAAGGCCTAAAATCCACCTTTAGTTAACATGTTTAAATGTTCAAAATTTTACCCTTTTGTAAATTTGTGTAATATGAAATCTGATTTCTGAAATATGTATTTGATGCTTAATATTTATTGAAACCCCTTAATGCGGATCTGAAGTATTCAGCCCATATGATCATGAAGCTTTATGTCAAAAGTTAATAAATATTTACCACTGAAAACGAATATATTTTTTATCTTCCATAATATTGGTACTTGTATTATAAGTATATATAATTTTTCAAGATACATCGTGGCATTTTAAACTTGAAATTGAATAACTAGAACACTTTAAATTGCTAAAATACCAACAAATAAATCAAAAAACAGCTGTCAATGGTGATTGAACTCAGGCGGAGGTGATCGTTGAATGGAAAAATCGGAGCAATTCGGGAGGCATCGTGCAAACAATAATTTTCAATTGGTGGGTTACTTTGGGTTAAAATAGACAACATGCGCAGTGTGCAATGTTACATCTTCGGCCTCTTTAATCTAAGGTTGTTTCTGATCTTATTAACTGCTTTGATGACATATTGCAGTGATATGGGTATCAATTAAAAGGGTTTGTTGAGAATAATACAAAAAAAAATAAAATGATGTTACACTAAATTCAAATGGCAGACCGCCTCAAGATGGCGGCCAACATTTTCTTATCTACTATCATGATATGGGTATCAAATGAAAGGGTTTGAAGAGTATGGAAATTAAATGTCACTTTAAATTTAATGGCGGGGCTATAAAAGCTTGTTTTTAAACATATACTTTTAGTATTAATTATTTCTAATCGAATGTACATCTTTTTTTTCGTTTCCCTCTAAACTTAATATCTTTTGTGATAACAAATCTGAATATAAAGACTCGCCTTTTAAGCACTAATTAAATTTAACTAATTGTATAATATGTGAGTGGGGGTTTTTTATTGGCCATGTATGATTCCAGTCGCCCACAGAGTTTTTCTTTCGATGCTTTAGTCTACGAGTGTATTTTTCATACAATGTCATACGAAATAATCTTTTTTAATTATTTGACATCGGTTTCGATTATGCATTATTAGTAGGCCTTAACAGGTATCCCGTTAATCGAGATAGGGACGCAACTATCTCACTAAAAGACTTCCGCAAATGTATTTGGATTCGACAAACTGGTGCAGACCTGCGAACTGGGGAATATCCAAGGACGGCTCCACGAAGGAGGTTATGACCACAATCGCCAAGATAAAAATTCTTACAATCCAAAATCATCTATTTAAAAAAATAGACTAATAAAGGAAATGGCTAATGGAAACTGCCCTCTTTGAAAATTCGTCCTGGAGCGTTAGAACCAGCCCTAATAAGTTACTGTATATTTATTGTATGGAAAAATTATTAACTGGCAACTCTGCAGCTTCTTGTTTCATCCCACCAGCCTTTCTCGAATTTCACAACTTTAATTAGGATCGTCACTATCGATATTGTCAATACGACGGAAGAGCCAGGTTCAAAAAGTATTTGGTTGGCTTATTTCTTGGCTAGTGAGTAATGAATCAGTAATACATGCAGTTACTATCGATATGGCATATTGAGCGCCTCCCTCCAAATAATATAGTATAATAATACATAAATATATATAGTGTCATAATAAAATTGTTCGTTTAGAAAAAATATTGGGTTGATGAATGAAAAAAAAAAAGGTTTTTTGTTAAGGAAGACTGTATTACTGATATTCGGTTAATAGCAAGATAACGATTCTATTCCATTATTGATTTGTGAGAAATACAAATGTTTTTATCTTATATAGGATACCACAAATACCTGGACGATAGATTGCCTCCTGAGAGTCCTTATTTATATGGGTTACATCCCAATGCTGAAATAGGATTTCTAGCTACTACTTCTGAGAATATGTTCCGAACTATTTTTGAAATGCAGCCTAGAGATTCTGGAGCTGGCGGCGGTGTTGGAGTTTCAAGAGAAGACAAGGTATACATTATTTTTTGTATTTACTAAAAACTTAAAAAAGATATATCGCATAAGAATTTCATTTCTATAAAGGTACGTTGCTCTGACTATACCTACTTACGACTTTCGAGATCGTTGATCTTGTTTTTTATATAATTAATATCAACAAAAAAAATGTACTAAAAAGACAACGTTTCCAATCGTTTATTGAGCACGCGAACGCGGACATGTTCCTGAAAGCGGCATTTGAATATATCGATTGAGATTTACACGGGTTTACAAAAAATGTTGTGATATAATTAACACTATAATAATTTCGCATGCAGCTGTCATATTTCCCAACGCTCGAAACCACCGAGCTAATTCTGTATAGTCTAGTCAACAAGTTCAAAAGCGTGTTTTTGGGACATACTATTACGAAAATTATGTTCAATAGCTCATTCGATTCGGAATAATATCTAGATCAATGTGTGAAGAAAAATTTTGCAGTGCATAAAAAAATTGCAAAAGTTATGAACAATTGAACACCTCAAAAACATGGTGTTTGGTTTTTCGCCTATAGTTTGTAAACTATAAATATTTTTGGATTTTTCAAATAAGATCCTTAAAGAGGAGGAAATTTGCTATAAATAAGTTCCAACTCCCGGAACTGTACCTCCATTATTTATAATTTTAATTTAACGCTCAAAGTAGCCTTCCGCGCGCCATTTTTAGGTTGCGTGCATGGCGTAGAAACCGAGTACGTTATATAAAATAATTATTTTAAGTTAATAAAATTAAATTCAAAAATTTAAAAAAATTACGGTGCATTCTAAACACTTGTTGATTAGACTAGTAGAACAATTACTCGTATCGTAGAATTCGATTACAATAATAAGAACACTGCTATGTCATAACCCAAAAGTAATATCAAAAACTGGTTACATTGATTTGTTCAGCAATTTAGCTGATTTATAGATAAAAAGCCAACTGACTGATCCATAGGTTGTAGCGTCTTCTGCTTATCTGTAAACCCTTTTGTAACGCTAATTAACATTAGCTGCACAATAAGATGAAATATCACTACGTTGAACATAAAGCTGAAGAAGCTCTGATGCAGTCTTGAAGTACACCACTAATCAGCCGTTAGAAATACGCCGCACAATAGGCTGGAAAAGTACTATTTAAGTCAAAATGTATACCTTTGCTCAGCTTGTTGGTTTAGGCTTAAGAAGCTCTGTTGAAGTCTTGAAGTACACCACTAATCAGCCATTACAAATACGCTGCATAATAGGCTGGAACCGCACTATTAAATCAAATTGTATACCTTTATTTAGCTTGTTGGTATAGGTTGAACATAGCTCTGTTGCAGTCCTAAAGTACAACAGGAATAGGCCATCCCAACAAACAATTTAAGTAGGTTAACTATTATGGTAGCGCTTAATCAGCTACATATTCAGCCAACGGATTGAATAATGGAGGTTTAATTGCCATTATAAGACTCTTTTCCTTAGGTTAAACAGCTAAAAAAGGAGAAGATAATCAGCCTATACAGTTCATCAAATTTCTAGAGGCTTTCGACGGCTAGACAGAGAAAGCACTACTGACAGGCATCCCGACGGATTTACGCAATGAAAGTACACTCTGCGCATCAAGTATTTCACTATTTCATTCAGACGTAAATGTCAGATGTAAATTTTGCTAAAACATTTCTTTTATTTTCGTTTGTGTTGTTTGCTCATTACAGTTTAATAGAACCTAAGTATGGAGTTTAATAGCAAATTAAGAGGCCGCGTGATTAACAGTCAATCTCGCGAAATAATAGCCAATGTTATAGAGTTTATGAGAAGAGAAGGAAACTTTAATTCACCTTCAATACCATTTAAAAATGTAAATGATCGTGTTGCTGCAGCCACAGGAGTATCTAAAAACACTGTCGTCCGCATTTCTGGAGAGAAAAAAAGAATCGATAACCGTGAGATATCGGAATTTTCATCACCAAGAAAAACCATTAAAAAACCAAAAACAGTTAATGATATAGATGAAGCTGCACAAGAATCAAATTTTATTTTTTTATTATTAGATAGCTATTTTTGTTTCTGAGTTGTGTTCATTTACAGGCTCAATTTTTTTCCGTTTCTCCTTTTTGATTTTATATGGGGTTTCAAGTTGTTTTTGACTTATTTCGACGTAAATCACAACAACACACTTTTTTAATAAAGCAAACAAGTGTTAAGAGGTATATGTACGTGTAAACTATAATTACAAAAAATTGATATGAAACCCATGAAACCACCAACAAAAATGTAAAGCTAGCTTCCGTACTAGAACATGGTGTCATTCGTCGAGATAATTTATCGTTTTGTTTAATAGATCAAGAAATGTAAATATTCCCCTGTTATTTTTTATAAAATTATAAGAGAACTAAATTTTTTTCTAAATAGTATAGTTTATTATTTTGTAGAAAAACAAAATTTCGAAAATTTTAGTAATGTTTCAGAAACAACCGTTATTAATAATAGGTACCATTTTCCTTAATAAGGTAGAAATAAAATATAAACTATTTCCACGATTTACAAAGGCCTACAAAAAATTATAGGTATTTTCCGCTATCCTATAAAATTTATATTTTCTGACTCAATTTCAAAAGGTTGAAGGAATTCCAAAACACCTTTTATGGCATAATAATTATTTTCAATTCTACATACTATCTTTAGCTGCTTTTAAAAACGTTCTAAGAAAGTCCAATCAGACCAATTTAATCCCTAAACTATTCCACACTTTTAAAATTTAATTACCTAAAAATATTAAAAACTATTTAAAATAACTTGTTTAGCAGACTGTACAATAGCTATCTTAGTCACACGTAGCGCGTTCTCTGTCTGGGCGTCGAACACCTCTAGAAATTTGAGCTGTAGCTGCTTAAAGTGGGCAGAGGAAGTGCTTCTTCAGCTTTTAAATAGCTTGGGTAGCAGTTTAAAGGTATATAAGTTGACTTAAGTAGTGCTCTTCCAGTCTATTGTTCAGCAAATTTCAAATTGCCGATTAGTGGTCTACTTTTGGGCTGCACCAGAGCTTCTTCAGCTTTATGTACAGCCTAGACCAAGTAGCTGAATTAAGGTATACACTTTGACTTAAGTAGTGCTCTTACAGCCTATAGTACAGCTAACGTTAATTAGCGCTACAAGGGTTTACAAAGAAGCAGAAGGGCTTCTATGCAGCCTATTGATTAGCCAGTTAGCTTATTCAGACTTCGCCACTACTATACATCTAAAAATCAGCTAAATTGCTGATCAAATCAATGTAAACAGCTTTAGATGTTACTTGGGATTAGAGATACGCTGCACAATGGGCTGAAAAAGCACTAGTTAAGTAAAATTGTATACCTTTATTCACCTTGTTGGCATGGCAATTAGACGAAAATAATGTGTAAATTATGGTTTTTACCAATTCAATAAATAAAATATCGGATAATGGACAAAGTCCCTGGTCAAAAAACTTCCAACCTTACACATACACTAAATAAAATAAAGCCATAAAACTAAAAAAAAGGGGTAGTCGTGACATTTTTGTGCTATATTATCCAATTTAAATAAATGGCAGACCACTACCTGCTGTGTCAGAACATAGAACGTTTTATTACCTTTACGATGCATGTCGTGCATTATCTTATGCAATTATCGATAGTCTCGATAACGCTTGTTGTATTATGTACAGCAATATATTATGATCCTGTGTTTTATGTTAAATTCGTAAGCTTTCAGGAAAAAAACTATATTCTAGTATTTATTTTTTAAATTCGTCAGCGTTCAGAAAAAAATCGATATTCATGTATTTATTTTTTAAATATTTTATTTAGGTTAAATATACCCTAGAAGACATTCAAGACAGATTACCAGAGAGATTCCCAGTTCAGGAAATGATGGCCAAAGTCCAAGATAAAACTCCCTATATTATTGTTGCATTCCAGGAATGTGACAGAATGAACACTTTAACATCGGAAATGAAAAGGTCACTACATGAATTAGAATTAGGTAAGCCAGTTAGTGTATTTTAAGCCCAATTTAAGATCCCAGAATTAAAAATACAACATTATGAGCTGTAGTTGTGGTCAGAAATACGGCGAAATTAGAGAAATATTGCAAATTTTTATAACGTCAGCCACTAATAGTGATAACATAAAATTAGACGCAAATATATTCAATGCTAAAACAATGCACACTTAAAGTTTTGTCCTCATACATATTTTTAACTTTATTTAAAAAACATTAGAAATTACCATTTTAAATGATGATGATGATGATGACATTAAATAAGTATTTAATATTAGAACATTTCGAAATGATACGAATGTCGGCGAGCGCACTCGAAAGCTAATAAAGTTGAAAGTATTTTCTGCCCTTAAACATCCAGAATTAGGGATATATATTATCTTTAATCAGTGGCGTAGCGTGGCGTCGATACAAGGGGATGTAATGAGTAACTGCAATTCACATTTTTTTTTTAGTAGTCTTTAATTTTGGACTTACAAATAAAGTATACAAAAAAATGTGGTAGGATAAAATTAGGGTACGGCCACCTAAGAGTACGCACTTAATATCTAAACCTTAAAACATTCTTGTACATATAAAACCTAGGTAGGTGTGAAAGTGTTCAAGTGTTCAACATTCTTTCCTTGTGACGCAATAATTCTTCTCATCTTTTCCTAAGGTCTTACTAAAATACTCAATTACTTTCTCTTTCCCCTCCTGTTCTTGGGATAGCACGGCGCCCACGCCGTGTTGGAATGCGTCGCAGTCTAAAATGAATTGTCCTTTTTCCCGAGGGTATGCTAGGATGGGTGCCGTGGTCAATCGTTTTTTTTAACTCGGTGAAGGCATTTTGACAATCCGGCGTCCAGTCAAATAGACTACTATTATTATAATTAACCGCATGGGCACTGGTACTGCATACTTTGTTCAAAATACATGGCTTCTTATGGGAATTATAAATAATTTTGTCAAAATAATAAAAATAAACTTGTTTAGAGCTAAATAAAGCACAGAACATACTGTTGTATTTATTTCCAAATAAGTCTTGCATGTTTTAATTGATAAATTATTTAATTTTATTTATATAAAATACAAATTAGGTATGTATGACCAAATTCGAAAAGGTTTCTTAATTGCTGAAATTTGATAAGTACAATTTTGCGGCAATATTTTTTTTTAATTTAACCAATATATAGTTTTAAGAGTAAAATAAAACACAGTTAACAGATTTTTTATTGTTGTAATACAAGTATAAAGGGAGAATGTATACATGGTATTACCTCATCCTTTAATTTCAGCTTTCCCGTTTTTATTTTGCTAACAGTACCATCAGCAAAAATAGTCTCATAATATTTGATAATATCTTCTAAAAAGTATAGAACAGCATCATTTCTAGAAAGTGCTTTATCGGCACTAGGAACGATATATATGCTGCCACGGTTCTAAACGTTTAGTATCCTATAAAAAACATTTACAATGACACAATTGGGGTAAAAAAAATAACAGTAGCAACTCTTTATACTTTAAAACTCTATAAAAAATAAATTTTCTTTTCTAGTAAGTTAAATTTAATGCATAATTATTGTTGTTTGTAAGTCAGCATCTATAACTGTAAAATTTTATATTATAGAAACTTATAATAAAATAAACTACACTTCCTAAGATACATATTGTGACTAGTTTACAATAAATATTATATTTAGACATGAATACATTATTTTACTTACATTAAAAGCTTTAAAAAGACATTGAATTGATTTCTTCTTGTGTTTTCTTTAGTTTTACATTTGTTTTGTATCCTGTTTTACAATCTGAAACGACGTAAAACTTGCTTTGATGTTTTTTGTCACTCATGTTACTTGTACTCAGGTACTTTTTTCACATTATTTTGATTCTTTTCATAATTTTTTTAAAAAATCACTTTATTTTTCATTGAATTTCATAGAAAATTGACTGCGCTGTCATTAGACATGACAACTACAGTCAATTTCGCGAACTTTATAAAAAGAAGGACGGAAATTTGAAATTTGCCGATTCGCCTCCTTCTCTCTAGTCTTCATATTTCGGGAATATGAACACAGTCGAAGAAAACTTCTAATTTCTCTTTTGTCTATTGGTTTCGGCCAATCTCTGACATCTGTAATTATTGTGATTAAGCCTTAGATTGGCTTTTCTTAATCTGTCAAATACTTTACTCAAATTTATCAAAAGATTTTGACATGATCGTTATGTCATCGAGATATACTAGACAAGTTTTCCAGGTTAATTCTTCCAGAACCATTTCCATTAGACGTTCAAAGGTAGCTGGGGCATTACAGAGACCAAACGGGAGAACCTGGAATCTGTATAATCCGCTGCCAGTTGAAAAAGCATTTTTGTCTCGATCGTCAGAATGTACTTCTACTTGCTAGTATCCGCTTTTCAAGTCTAGCGTGAAAAACCATTTTGCACCTGAAGAGTGTTTAGTGTGTCGTCTATTCGGGGGAGTGGATAGCTGTCTTTCTGCGTTATCTGATTTAATCTTCTATAGTCTATACATAAACGAGTAGATGCGTCTGTCTTAGTTACTAGGACCACAGGTGAGCACCAGGGACTAGAAGCTTCTTCAATAATATTTGCATCCATCATGTCCTGAATCATATTTGCTACTTATATTTGTTTATCAAATGGGAGTCTTCTAGGTGCTTGTCGTATTGGCCTTGCATCGCCTGTATAAATTCTATGCTGAACAAGACTGGTACGCCTCGTAGATTTTCCTGTCTCGAAAATGACACCATTCTCCGATTCTCGATTCATAGAACGAGCCCTGCTTCGACAGGTTCTTTGAAGGTGTCCGATTCTTCCGCAATTAAAGCATCTTCTGTTCTCATTTTGACTGCTTCGTTGCATATTTTGCAGGATATTTAGGATCTGTGAGAGGGTAGGTTGAGGGATAGTATTAGTAGTGGCGTCTTCGAATTTCTCTCAATTTTGCACGAGATGATCTAGATATACTTTTTGCTGCTTCGTATTCCTGGGCTGCAATAAATGTCTCACTCAATGTCTTGTGGTGTTGTAGCCGAAGAGCCTGCTGCATTTCGACGTCCTGTAGTTCATCAATGAATGTTTGTATGCCGATTTGCTCTAAGAAATCTTTAGGTTAGGTTAGATAGACCTGATGCAGCAATCTTTTAATATCGGCTTCAAATTCTTGTAGACTCTCATTGGTTTCTGACTACGAACTTTTAGCTGGCTTTGGAATACCTGTTTTAAATGCTGCTGGCCATATCTGGTTTCCAACGCTTGGACGAGAGATGAATAACTGGGTTCTTCTTGGGGAAGTAACTGCAGAACGGTTGCTGCCTGACCTCGCAGTGACACTATCAATGAAGATGCCATCTCTTTCTCGGCCCAGCCATTGGCTCTAGCTGCAGCTTCAAATTGGAGTCGATATGTTTCCCATGTAGTCTGGCTGTCAAACGTAGGTGGCTTAAGGGTCTTGCCAGTATAGTTTTGTGAAAGTGGAATTCAAATGTGGCTTGGCTCGGTTATGGATGAAGACGAGGTAGTGTTTCCTTTCCTTCTCCTCCTCTTCCTCCTTCCTACGCCTTTCCTTTTCCTCATCTTCTTTCCTACGCCTTTCCTTCTCCTCATTTTCTTCCTTCCTATGCCTTTCCTTTTCCTCCTCTTCTTCCTTCCTGCGCCTTTCCTTTTCCTCTTCCATCTTCAAAAACCATGCTGGTGGGCCTGAAGTATCCATGCCTGCTTCGTACTCAGTGGATCTAGTATTTACCATGAACTTTTACTTTGTATCCCACCGCTGTCACCAATGTTACGCTGGTTTTTGGTTCCACAATTTATTTTAATTCAACTTTTACAATAACTCAATTATTGAACTTTAACAATAACTTTCCAATTAATAACATTAACGTATAACGTCTATCATAAAAACTGACGTCAGGATCATCCTTATATAGCTTGCTTGACCCGTCTCGAACTGTCGTCTAGAATATTCTTGACGGGTAATGACATTTCCAGAGATTTCTGGAATATTCTATCTTCTTTTACTTGTACTTTTATTTATGACGACCGCAGCACACTGTAGAGCGATGAGTAACATTCCACTTATTTTTCTATCTGTACGTTTCCTATGATACCCGCAGGCTACTGCAGGGTGCTGCGTAACAATATTGTCGGGTAGAAAAATTTTTTACTCAGTGCCTCTCTGTCATTTTCGTTACATGATTAAATCTGTGAGGAATGTTGTTCATTTTCGCATACTAATATGTAAGAGACATAACTTCCTTTCTCCATAGAAACGCGCTTTTTTATATGTTCTGCCAATTATATTTGTTGGTCCTGGGTAAAAACAGGTTTAAATCTTCCAAATGAAACTGGAACCATTCTCTAGAAAATATTTTTAGTAAGTATTTAAAAATAAAGCCAGGTAAAATTGGTTTACCTCTCGAAGTCTTTTTCGTAAGCTACTTTCATTGACCCCCTGTGAATTCGCAACTGCACGCTTACTTTCTCCTCTTTCTATTCGTGTGCGTGCCTCAATTAGAAGCTCCTTTGTACATTTTAGCTCTATTGCTTTTCCTTACGTAGTTACTCATTGCTTTCATAATAAATGAAATGCAATATTTATTTTTTCTACACCCACATGGATATTAGCTTATCTACGCACAGATTACAAAACGAAAAAGTATGCTATTGCCTTTAACTGAACGAATATATTTTATATCCATTCTAGGTAGTGAGAACACTGCAAAAAAATGAAATTCATCAATCACCGTTCATATTTTGATCTTAAATAAGTGACAATTCTGTCAAACTAATTGTCAGTATATTTTTTAGTTATTGAGATTAAATATACATTAAAATGGATTATTCTTGTGTCGAATCGATAAATAATCGCATTTCGTCTATAATTATAAATAAATGGTTAATTTAAATAAAACTATATGAAGTCAATTTAATTACGAGTATTAAAGCAACATAATTAAGACTAGGTGGTCGTGTGGTGAGCGTTCTTGCCTTCCACACTTACTAAAGATTGAAGTTCGATTCTCGGATGGGAAAAAACATTTTTTCTTTTTTTTCGCTTTTTTTATTTTAAAAATTATTAAAAGTCATAAATTATACTAAAATTAGTGTTATTTTATCTTAATAACCTAAAATATTTTTTTTAATTTTTGTTATTGGGTCGTAGAAAAAATAAACTGTACAACTCGATAAAAACGATAAAAATTAAGAACGGTTACAAAGAGTACGCATGGTTAAAAAGAATACGCGCATACTCTTGGGAACACGAGATGTATCATTAAATTTCAAACATTCCTTACATAGGCAACCATATTGACAAAATTATTACGAAGAAACGATCTAATTTATGAACTTTTATTTGTATAGTCTGTTATTGTCAAAAAAATTGAACTGGGCATGCTATTGCTTACGAAATAACTGACAAAAATTTAAATAATAACTTAAAATATCATTTACTTACGTTTATGTGATTTTGTTTTTCGATTACCAGAGCACTCTTTGGCACAAATCATCCTCTGACTAAAGCACGTGTAGCACTGACTATTGGTACGATCAGGTGTTTTTAAAAGTAGAAAATATTTACAATGCGTACTCTTAGGGACTGCGTACTCTTAGGTATTATTAACCTAAAGTAGGGAGTTTACATTAAAAAAAAAAAACATGTGAACATATCTGTTGAATTTGAAATTAGGATCAATTCTATAGTGTGCAGATTTGAAAAAATATTTATTATATTTTCTTCAAATGAAGGGGAAAAACGCGATTACGATACTCGCATTTGCGTACTAGTACGGAATACCACGAACGAGACACGTTTATGATAGAACAGAAGTAAAAGTTGGAAATGCTTTTGCCAGTTCTCCCACTTTATACACATAAATTGACAGGTTGGCACCGGATCTCACCGAAGTGGACGCGATACATTGGCGTACAAAATTATTTTATAGATTTTAATAACAATTTCGAGTAAATAGTTTAATAAATTGTGAATAGCTGTTGAAATTTTGTAAAATTATAATTTGAATATTATAATACATGTTTAATAATTATTTATAATCCATAAATACATGCGATTGTCTAGTTCCGCCGATAACAATTTAAAATTACTTATTCTATGAAACGACACTGGCAGGTAAACATTACTGTGAAATTCTCGGAGCCGCCCGACGTGGTTTGACGTTTACCCCCTCTCTACCTACCAAAAGACTTTTCAACTTTTACTTTCTCTATACCGCATCACCCATCAGCGAATACTGCGTACTGGAAACACGAAATCACGAATCACGGTCGCTAACCCCGACTCGCCTTACCTGATATTCAAGATGTAATACAAGACATCATAGCGCTATTAAAATATTTCTATTTGTAGCGTAGTAGAGAGTATTCTATAAAGCTGAACAAATACACATATTGAATACATAATTGAAATTGAATTTAATTATTTTAATAAATTCACTGAGAATTTCAATTTATTGTAAGAGATCTTATTGATTTTATTTCCAATAAAAACATATTAGCTGTTAATACAGTCAGTTCGACAACTTAAACGACTGCACATGTTCAGATGTCAAAATAAGAACGGCGCTGACCTTAAGTGAACTTGCAATGTTTCTATTAGCGCATTTTGCGCAGGCATTTATTACTTCACGACTGTTGTATTCAAGAATTATTTAAGAAAAGTTGTTTAAAGAGGTATCTTTTGTACTTACTTCCTTTAATAATTTCTCTTATTTTGACATATTGACTGCATATTTTACGATCGTTTTTTAAACATTTTCTAATTTTGACAGTTTTCCTGTAAACATATTGTCTGATAATACCTGAAAATCGATTTCCGATTTTCTCATTTCTAACCTTTACCTATGTATGTTATTTATTTTTAAGATATAATTTAATATTTTGTTAAATAACCTGTCAAATTAAAGGAAATGGCATAATAAAGTTTTTAAAAGTAAGTCGCTTTCGATAATTTAATTCAAATGTACCACCTTATACACGATCTTTTATTAAAAGCAGCCTCTATAGGCCTTTTCATCATATGATGAGCGCAAGCGCATCCGCCATATTAAAATAGCGCCAATTCAAAAGTTTCGTACTGTTTTGATCAACAATGGCTGGAAAATCAATATTATCTCTACATACAAATCAATCATTAGAAAAAATCATTGATGGTGATTTACATTTTTATAACTCTGTGGAAGCACATAGTTGTGAGCAATTAAAAAGATTCTTGAAGTGACGTGGACGTTCGGAACAAGGAAAAAAGTGTAGTGATTGAGAGGTTAGGTTTCAATTGTGTAAAAAATTAATGTAAACAAATAATAATCATAACTCTATTCTAATTAATTATGCCAACCAATATTAGTACTTGCAAAAACACATTAACATGAAAGTTAATCACGAGTATAATTAATAAGATAAATTATTTAAAATTTTAAGGATCAACATGACATTTTTAATAATGTTACTGTGTATACCGAAGTAGTATTTAATATTAAAAAATATTGTGTAATACCAGACAAGGATTTTCTTCTGTTGAACCACTTTCTCCATGAAAATGTAGTGAACAAATATAAGTATCTTTAGTAACATCATCCATTAATCGATCGAAAACCTTTGTCACTTCGACAACATTTTTTCACTCATAATGCTCATTTTGAACATGTTTTTATATTAATTTTGCCTAATGATTGATTGTTTTTTTACGATATTGCATGCAAGTCTTTTTATAAAATAATTATACCGTGTGCCACTTTTACATACTCATAACAATACCGTTTAGTTTTTCCTTTCCGTAAAGATAACACAATTAATTGATTGCAAAAATTGATTTTTCAATCAAGACACTAATTACTTTTTTATCCCATTTTTTAAACGAATACATTTAAAATTAATATTTATCGATTATAATTTTTTTTCACGTGGGCATTTTAACATGCTTGTTTACAAAAAACAGTACGAAAAAATGGCTGATACTGACGCATGCACACAAAAAAAAATTGTGATGGCTTCGAATATCTCTATATTCTATGAAATTATACATAAATTTGAATTGTTTTTTAGGCTTAAAGGGGGAATTAACGATAACTCCGGACATGGAAACTTTGGAAGCTGCTCTTTTCTTAGACCAAGTTCCGGAGACTTGGTCAGTCAAGGCGTACCCCAGCATGTTACCTTTAGGTCAGTGGGTAAGCGATTTGAGTCTTCGCATACAAGAACTCAGTCTCTGGCTAGCTGAATTTTCGATGCCACCGACTGTTTGGTTAGGAGGTTTCTTCAATCCCCAGTCATTTTTAACTGCCATCATGCAACAAACGTCCAGGAAGAATGAATGGCCTTTGGATAGAATGTGTCTTGTTACGGATGTCACTAAAAAACAGAAAGAGGATTTTTCCGCGCCTCCGAGAGAGGGATCTTATGTTAGCGGACTTTATATGGAGGGAGCTAGGTAGGCAGATAATTAAAATACCTACATATTTTAAAAGTTTTTAACGACTTTGTAGATATATAATTTTTATAGCTTTTTTTCTGTAGATACTTTGAGTCAATATTAATTGCAAATTCGTTTGTTTCAACGCTGGTAGCTTTATAGTTTATCCGAATGGGTTACAAGCAAAAAAGGATGTTTGGCTCCCAGTTGCAAACTTTCTCGTGATATTTTTGCAGCCACCTTATAACATTTTTTTAATATTTTGCCCTGCTTTGCCAAAAGGTCCTAACCTACCCAGACAGTACATATATATCCATTGGGACATCCATTCAATATATATTTTTAGTATTCTGAACATCTACAAGTATTAGAAATTAATAAATTAATAAACCGACTTCAAAAACGTGCAGATGCCATCACCACATCTTAAGCAAATTTATATGTGACCACCCCTGAGGTACCCCCTTACTAACAAAAAAGAATCATATAAATCGGACAAAGTGGTAAAGCATTATCACTAAATATACATAAAAAATGAAGAGTTTTAGGATTTTCTCATGGACCCAATTATTAAATTTTGACCAAATTTATATGGGACCACCCCTGAAAAAAAAATCATTGAAATCGTACACCGTGTTAAAGAATTATCGCTGAACATACATAAAAAAAATATTGCGACGAATTGAGAACCTCCTCATTTTTTGAAGTCGGTTAAAAAATTAGTTTTCTCCTGGACTTCCCATATCTAATTGATGTCAAGTGGAGTATATAAATAGCCCACTTTTGACCACGTCCCGTTCTGGATTATATTCGGACATTGCACTACGCAATGAACGTTAAACAATCACCAAAGAACGTTCATTGAACGTTTTTGATAGGATACTAGACATTCAAAAGATGTCTATTTCTGGATTATATTTGTACGTAACATGTTCACGTAATGAACGTTAAACGATGACCAATGATAATTGCATTACTTGAGACCCCACTATCCCTCCACTTTTTTCGTCCTACGGCGCTATTGACCTCACTAACATCTCCAATAGACAAGCGCAACTCGCCACACACTATTTTAAATTATTAATAATTCATACACCATTATAACGTTTGACGCCTTCAGTCGCTCTACGCGCTCGACCTTTGAGACATAAACATTTATTACTAGATAATTCTAATAGTTAAAAGATTTCCGCTGGTGGAATGGAATGAATTAGATTCCATTTTAACGATCAATTATATTTTGGAAAGAAAATAAAGTGTATATAGGTATTGCGGGTTACTATTTATATTATGAGCCTAATAGTCATTTGTCATTAAAAATTGCTTTATTGTTTTTCTAAATATTCTCCATTATTATCTATGAATTTTTACATTCGCTCAAACCATTTTTGTCAAAACATTTTTTTCATTGTTTTTGGGATAACCTCCAAAACATTATTTTTGAATGTCTTTATAATAGTGGCCCTCGTATCTGGTAAAGTACCTAAATAAATAACCTAAGATGGACATCAAAATATTACAAAACGTGTACTAAACTTAAAGTTATGTCCAAAAAAACCGACGCCCACTGGGTAAAAGCATATGCAGCTGTCAAATTAATGTTCATAAAAACGAACGTACACTGGATACCCGAATACGGTTATGGACTGACCCTTGAATGGATCTAAAATGGACGTTCATTAAACTATGTGTGCTGTCTGAGTATGTACAAAATTCGTTTAGACTTAAGACATTTGTCTATTGAATTTGAAAAAAAAATCTGAATAAAAATGGGGGTCGTTAAAGGGGGGTTAAAATATTAAAAAATCTTAAGTCAAAAACGAAAAATGATATCTAATTAAATTTTTTTATCAAAAATTGAAGAAGCCCTTTGGTTTTGGAAAAAAAAATGATTATTATAAATGTAGGGGTTTAAGGGTGCAGAAATTAAAAATAATCATAAATCTAAAACGAAAAGTGATATCAACATGAAATTTTTAGTAAAAATCATGATCTTTTATAAGGAAATGAATCCTATTGATTCTGAAAAAATCTTATTGAAAATGAGGGTTAAGAGAGGTCTGTTAAACTGTGAAGAATATAATATAGAATGCCAAGCATTATATATGTTCATTATAGTTAATTCTGAATTCATATAGAACAGTTTGACTTGCATATTTCAGATGTGGAAAATATGTTGTTTTATTTTAAAAATAGAGCGATGAAGTCCTGTACCTACACGAAAATGGTGACGTCATTAGTACATATATCCAATTGTAGCCTAAGACGCGCAGTCAGTTAAAAATTAAAATTGACCTGTGGAAGCATTTTCTTAAATACTGTTAAAAAAATATCGAATTGATTCCAACCTATACGTCCTCACTGTATATTAAAAAGTCTCGAGTCTTGGATAAAGGATCCCTCCTATCTGCCAAACTACATCTCCACTCAAATGCAAAAAAATGTTCAATAATTAAACAATATTTTTAATGGATCAAACGACTTACCTGAAGGAAGTTCGATCCTAATTATGCGAGCATCCTTGTTAGTGGAAATAAAGATTACCATGTAGTATACCTATGTTACGCCGCTGACTCACATGTTTAGATTTAAAATTTTACGTCGCTCTCGCTCTGTCTACATTAATCATTACCTGTTGTGGAGGAGTTTGGGGTTAAAAATAATATAAATATGGTGGAGGTGGGACTTTATTTCCACTAACAAGGATGCTCGCATAATTAGGATCGAACTTCCTTCAGGTAAGTCGTTTGATCCATTAATTATGCTTCACATCCTTGTTAGTGGAAATAAAGATTACCATGTAGTTGTTTAGAGGATGTTCTATTCAAAATAAAACTAGATTTTTGCTTTCTACGTAAATATATACAATAGAATATGCAAAAAAAAATATTACTATAAATTTCCCACAAAATTAACAATAATAATTAATAATAATACTAATGAATTAATAATTAACCAACGTAACAAAAAATAATATTGAATTTTAACAATCCAGTTTTATAATTTAATACTTTTGCGAACGTTAGTTCTACGTCTTAATTGTAAAACTTGTTAAACACTACTGATCTCTTTGTACTACAATTTTTTTTTAAATGGTTTCGATATTGACGCAGATTATGAGGACGGTCGAGGTACATACGTATCTGTACTAAGTGCTTGGGCTACTCACCCAATAGTTTGGGGAGATACTGGATGGACTGGAGCGTTAGTGGTTAGAATAAAAGGTCCCGAAGACCTGTGAGACTTTGTTTTTTTTTCTGTTTCCCCATAAAATAAAAATTGTTTTTGCCGAGCATAAATTGAGGTAATTCGTGGGGGAATGAAAATACTAATAAAGGCTGGGCTCGTTGTGAAGTCGAAGTTTAAGTATTTCGTCAATGAAAATTTGTACATTGTTAGCTTCCACCTTGGCAACTTTAATTTTTGAGAAAGTCTATACCCGTTGGACTGCAAGCATAACAAGTTTGGCTCTTAGCTGTTTTAAGTTTTTAAGTGAAAGAAACTACTGATGTATTTTAAAACTGTGTTGTGATCTCAAGTTTGAATATATTTTGGTCATAAGGAGTTCTAAATGAAGGGTTGCTGCAATTAATAACTAGGTCTAATGTTGACATGTACCGTGAAACGCATTTTTTTTTTATGTTAGTACTTATACAAGAAATGCATCAGCTATGTAACAATCGAGTTCTCGCACACTTTAGAATTGTAAAGAATCAACCATTGTATTACAATGTTTGATACATTCATCACTAGATTTAGATGTAATTAGGAAATCATTAAGGTTATTTCCAAAAGCCTTAGTTGCGCACTACCGGTTTTAAAGTGTTTGCAAAAACATATGGAGCAAATGGTCAAACCAAATGTAAGACTCAAATTAGTAAGTTATTATTTTTTTTTTTTAAATACTTTCCTTATTTTTTATGTATTATCATTTAATTTTTGACAAAATTGTCCTGTAACAAAATATTCTGTGCAGACCTGAGATCTTCCAGTTTGAAATGCGAGACTCTATATATTTGTTAAAGATGAATCTAGATGAATCATTTCATTTGGGTCTTAAAAAATATGAGAACCAAACTAATTTTCTGTAGCAAGCACACCCTGTTGTATTCTTTAGTACTTTTTTTTTTCGTTGCATGAAGTGTGTAGGTTAGTTTTTTCTCTAAGAGAAAACATCCTTTGTTGAAAGCTCTTTTGTGTTTTAAAAATTAATTTAAAACCTTTAACATATCTTAGGACCTTCTTATCATTAGTTAAGTTAGCCCACATGTTTTACAAATTTATTCAATCTATACCAGCCATCTCTCTTACCTTTATTTCCTTCCTTAATAACTCCTTCTCCCCTCTGTTTTTCTGAATACTTGTTGTTTCGTCCTTTGGGTTTTTTTTATCATATTTTCAACGTTTGTGTTTAAAGACGGATATATAAGATGCCTAGATGTCTAATAATACTTTTGTTACATTTGCATTTGTTTTGATGCGTCTAGTTCTGTTCCATCTAAGCCTAGCTTACAGAGGTTCAGCTAAACTTCCCACCACCTTTCAAGTTGGTCTTGCAGCATATATAAATAGCTGTCGGTTTTATTTGATGACGTGACTAGTCACTAAACTTTTTGGTTCGGAGTTTAGGTGAAAGTAGTAAGTATTCCAGATTTTGATTTCACAAAGAAACTTTGATATTTTGCCATTCTCCAAACCGTCTTGCAATTATTTTCCCAACTTTTTACCATTTCTTCGTTGATTGGTTTTCCGAGAGAAATGTTGCTATTAGGATCCGCTCCCAGAATATCTTGATACTGAATTTGATCCTTACTATTCGAACGTCTTAGATTCTGAATCAACTTAAATCTATATTTAATCAATGGCTAATTTATGTGCACATAAAGAGGCATTTTGTTTGTTTTTTTTTAGGTGCAGGATTTACCCATACAGTAATATAATCAATGAGCTTTGCGTAAGATTTTTGCGTCCTTGCATTTAGCTGGGCTTGCATAATGTATTAGATCAGAGTTAACACATAAAGTAGCCTCCTCTGTATATTTATTATTTGCAGAATTTACACATAAAGTAGTATCTTCCGCCACAAAATTGTTGCGAAATTTGCACATAAAGTCGCATTTTTCGCTCTGCATACGGCTTATATGAATGATGTATCTTCTGCATATTTATGTCGTCTAAATTCGGAAATTTACAAAGCAGTATCTTCTGTAAGCTAAAAATCATTTAAATTATGAAGAAAACCATTCTCAAACCTGTACTAGTATAAGATCAGAGTTAACATATAAAGTAGCCTCCTCTGTATAGTTATTTATTATTTGCAGAATTTACACATAAAGTAGTATCTTCCGCCACAATTTTTGCGAAATTTGCACATAAAGTCGCATTTTTCGCTCTGCATACGGCTTATATGAATGACGTATCTTCTCAAGCCTGTACTAGTATAAGATCAGAGTTAACACATAAAGTAGCCTCCTCTGTATAGTTATTTATTATTTGCAGAATTTACACATAAAGTAGTATCTTCCGCCACAATTTTTGCGAAATTTGCACATAAAGTCGCATTTTTCGCTCTGCATACGGCTTATATGAATGACGTATCTTCTCAAGCCTGTACTAGTATAAGATCAGAGTTAACACATAAAGTAGCTTCCTCTGTACATGTTTTTGTCTATAATGCAGAATTTACATATAAAGTATTCTCATCAAAATTTTGCGAAATGTGCACATTAAGTAGCATTTTTCGTTCTACAGACGGATTTTATGAATTACTGCACCGTTAACACATAAAGTAGTATCTTCTGTATATTTATTTGTCGTCTAAATGCAGAAATTTACACATAAAGTAGTATCTTCTGCAAGCTAAAAATCAGTTAAATAAAAAGAAAAACATTATTCTCCTATCTGTGCTCTGAATACCTTCATGTCTTTTTCAATTTATCGTATTTCTAATACGATTTTCGATAGTTTTTACCTTTTACACTTTTTTATAATCGTTAAAATGTGGTCGGTTTTACGATGTGATTCACGCGACACAACAACTGGTAATGATTAATGTAGACAGAGCAGAGAGCGACGTAAAATTTTAAATCTAAACATGTGAGTCAGCGGCGTAACATAGGTATACTACATGGTAATCTTTATTTCCACTAACAAGGATGTGAAGCATAATATAGAAAGGCAGTGTATAAACATTTTTACACCTATAAACTTCGAGCATATATATTTCATAGAGTCCGCATTGAACAGCGTTTGTTTGGGTTAAGAGGGGAAATGGGTAGACACTATTACCAGTGTCGAATCATTTTTACGGAGTTTGCAATTAATATAAATAATATCACTTCAAAATTCTTTAAATTATGCACATATTTTATAAACTTGCAATATTTAAGTAGGTATCTAGTAACAGTAAATTATTATTATTATTATTAATAATATCATTATTATTTGTGTAGGACACATCAGATTTTTTTTATTTCAAACATCAGAAAGTGTATAACGGAAAAATGAAGGTTGAAATAATAGGCAATAAAAAAGATGAAAAGCTTATATTTAAAAATCAAAAATATAAATAAATAGTAGGTATATTATACAAATATTTATAATATCTATTAACACACGTGTACGAGAATTACAATGCAAGAATTTTTTCCAATAATTTATTAAATATAAAAATATTGTTCGTAAATAATGTTCAATAGATTACTAAACGATATACTACAAATAGAAATTAAGCTAATACTTAGGTACATTTGCACTGCTAGTCGTTAACAAATAAGTGAAGCTTAACTTTTATTGGAAAACTCTTAAGCTTCGATTATTTCTTAGGAGTGCAAATGTAAATAAAATTTGTTGTATTAAAAAGTACTTGGTTACTTACATGTTTTCTAATTCTGCATTTTCTTTTTCTGCATTAGATCATCACTGAAAAATAAAAAAATTTGAACCAAAAAAAAAGTGCAGGGTTCTTTACCTATTAGATTCATCTTCTTCTGGGGCCTCAGTAAATCCTGAAGGCAATGCACCTGGAATTAATCTAGTTCTTCCTCCGCGTCCTTTTTTTGACATAAACATAAATATATCCAGAAAAATGATTGGAACATAAAACATCACTATTTGAAATGTTTTCTGGAGTAAGTTTCAATATGTTTCACCAAATGCGTTTTTCGGAAAGATTTTTTTTTAATTTGGTGTCATCGGCATCGACTGCTAAGGTCATTAGCCTCGTGTTCTGTGTAGGCTTTGTTACTGTTTCCAAGCGCCACTGTAGGTTCAGCACTGTTAATTAGAACCCAACAGTGAATGGTGGGGGAATCCTACCAAGGCATCAGAATTAATTTTAAATAAAAAAATTAAATAAAAAAATCCGGGCCAACGGTGGGATTCGAACCTGGCACCCTTGGATCCACAGGCAGAGACTCTACCACTGATCCACCCACCCCCCCTTCGCCAGGATTTGTTGGAACCCTACAAAAAACAAAAATTATTGATTTAAGATCTTCAACATTATCATGATAAAATGTCTTAAAAACGAAAAGTTTGCTTACATTGAAAAATTATGATTACTTCTTTATGACTTTTCAGTAGAGTCCAAAATCTACAACATAATTCCACATACATAATACAAGTTCTTTAAATTTAATTCACTAAATTTACCATTTATTTTAAATTAACCGCCTTTTGCATAAAATGTAGGTACTTATGTTTCTTTAAAAAAAATGGTAGATAAGAAAATGGAGACTTACTTGTGAAATGATCTTGACGATGCCTTTTCATATTTCTATTTAAAACTCACTAAAGTAATCAAATACAAAAAATCACTTATAAACTACTAAAAAGCTAGAAATTAATGAAAATCAAAAATCAGATGAGAGTTCTAACAATTTCGAACGATTTGACATGCCAAGCAAAACGAAACAGACCAATGGGAATGCTGGATACTATTTTTCCCCCCTGTACCAAAACAAAGTCCATTTGGAGGATGGCTCTAGTAATATATGCTCGAAGCCTATAAAATACAACCTCAATTATCTCAAAAGAGCAAACTAGATAGGACCCATAGATACAGAAAATAGGACCTATAAACTAAGCAGGCCGCCATTAAGACCATACTAACGATCTGTCAAATGTAACACTCAGTCTTATTGGTGTGTTCTAGATATTCTTAAATATTATAAAGGAGTAGAAACAGTTATTTTCTATTCTATATTTGTTTTTTTTTTGTTTCATTTTTCCCTTTAACTTTTTACTCACTCACATTCAAGATTTCGATTTAATTGTATTTTGTGACGACTTATAAATAGGCATGAATGTGGGAATCTACAAAACCTATATTTGAATTCAATTTTATTTAAAATAACTATGAATGTTAAAAATTAGAAATTTGCATTTTGTATCACTCATGATGTTTTCTGTTAATTTTTTAGATGGGATATTAATCAGAATACCATGGCAGATTCTAAACTTAAGGAATTGTTTCCTGTAGTGCCTGTAATTTACATTAGGGCTATAACACAAGATAAGCAGGATCTGAAAAATATGTATGATTGTCCTGTGTATAAGACAAAAATGAGAGGACCAACATTTGTCTGGACTTTTAACTTAAGATCTAGAGAAAATCCGCTTAAGTGGGTTTTAGCTGGTGTGGCAATATTACTACAAATATAATTTATCCACCCGTTTTAGACATGTTATTTTTGTTAAACTGTTTGTTTATTTTATGAAATAAATGTTTTAATTATGTTAAAAACTATTTTTTTTTTTACATCGAATCATTAGAACTTTTTTCAACGTATTGGACATTTATTTGATCAAAGAACGTTTCTAGATGGACAAAATTAGGAATTATGAAGTGGTAGAAATAAACTAGGTGAGAAAAAAAGGTGAATAGATACTGTTATAATAAGGCATATACTTATAATTATATAGGATGAAGCATGTAATACAATGCAAAGGTAATAGTGTTGAATAAACTCTTTAGCTGAAGAAATAATTTTAATTTCAACATTCCAAAATAAGTGTTGCAATTCATCAACAAAAATCATACATTCTACAAGTTATAAAAATATACAGTCCACTCTTCCAGCTGACAGGAAGGAACCCTTATTTCGGGGGTGAAGATTAAAATAAAAACGTCATCTGAAAACACCGTTCGTCAAATCAAAATTAGAATATGCTTCATTAATATGAAATACGTTCAAAGTCGATACCTAAAATTCTTGACGTTTAAGATGGAACATATCTACCAATTGGGATAAATCCACATACTTTGATTTTCTTTTACTATACGGAGAATAGTCGCACTGCGCAGCTTTCTGAGTGCCTTTTAAAAGGGGATAGAAAACTCCGCCATTTTGATCCCTTATAACGTGTTGCCTACATCTTGGCGCAATATTTTTAATAGGTGCGTTTTAATCATCCGCTTCTGCTTCGGAATTGTCGGTTTTCTTGTTTTAATCTGACAGGTTAAAACTACTAAACCGACAATTCCGGAAGCAGAAGCGGATGATTAAAACGCACCTGATATTTTGCTTGCTGCTGTCAGTGTCAGTAAATATTATTTTTGGAGTCACAGTTTATTGCTAAAGAATCAGTTAGCTCACTCGGACCAGTTGAAAGTTCCAAAATAACATCCACCCCAGGGATACAAATTCAGGATGCGCAGAAGACTGCTGTTTTATTATAGGCGGTTGTCATATATTGTATTATCCGAGTTGCGCAGTGTATAAACTGGAACATTGAGATCAAAATTGCCGACGCAGAGTGAGCGATCTGATTCTTTAGCTATAAACTGTGGCATAGGAATCAAAATGGCCGCGCCCTATGTTGGGCGTGTCGGACCTCTCTCTTGCACCGTATAGTAATCAAAGTATGTGGATAAATCACACATGCTTTTAAATAGATTCCGAATGCAAAGCTTAGAATATAAACGAAAAATCAGTTGGTAATATTTCTGTATAAACTTATTAACTACCAAATTGATTGTTCCGAGTTATTAGAACCGTTTGTATTTAAAGCGCCTAGACAAATTTATTAAAACACTCGCTGTTGTATTATATGTGTGAAAACAGCAACAACTCAAGAAATTAATAAGCTGTTTCGGTACTATTTGCTTATGTATAATCATTGTCTTAATATGTAATGTGTTATATTTACTTTTTTTTCCAGCTCTATAAATAGGCATTTATCCTGTAGAGCAGTGTATTTAATAAATAAAAAACCTTTATTTGCTACAGGTAAATTGAAGATAGATCTTTTTCAATTATCATATAAATATTAGATTTTCATTCTGTCAGTCAGGCTGGGCCATTAAAGGTATTTAACATCTTATCGCTCTGTAAAATATACTTAAATCTCCCCACAAACCCTACTATTTTTTTTGCGGAAATAGTGTGACTGACTGCCTAATTCACAAATAATCTATAAACTGTAATAAAATATTAAATATTAGTTAGGCATTTTATAGAGGTTCTAACATTCGTCCATCCTGACAAAAATGCGACCTTGCATTTAAAGTAATAATCCTAAAAAGTTTTTTTTTATATATACAGGGTGAGTCGGGAGGAGCGCTCCAAACTCTAGGAGTATATTTGTTTTCAAGTTATGGCGTAATTAAAAATGTTCATCTAGCTTTTAATTACGCCATAACTTGAAAACAAATGAAAATCGGATAAGAACATATGAGTTTTTTTTACATTATTTTCACGTGTATAATATACTCCTAGAGTTTGGTGCGCTCCTCCCGACTCACCCTGTATATAAAGAAGAAAAAAAATTAATTTTTAGCATGAACACAAAAATAGCTGAAGGCTTAATAGCAAATATCTTTAAATTTATTAGGTCTTCGTTTTTCTCTCTTCTTTTCTACGATTTCTGTCTCGCTTGCTTGATCATCATCCATATCTTCTAATTTCGCTTTCTTTTTAGCGCTGTTCTTCTCATTGGGTTTTTTATCTAGTTTAGTTTGTATTGACATGGATTCGGATTCATTTTCTTCATCTGTAGTTATGTCTTCGACACTTTCATATTAGTTCTAATAGGCTGTTGTAATCTGCTGTCGTTCTCCATCTTCACTACATAGTTTTTCTATCTGATATGTGTTTCCTGGAATTTTTTTCAGTACTACATATGGACCTTTATATTTCTTTTGTAATTTTGTACTTTCTCCAGTAGCTGTAGGTGAGGCTTTGACTACAATAATTTCTCCTATATCATATTCATGTCCAATATATCTTTTCTTATCAAATTGTTCTTTCATTTTCTGCTGCCCCTTAATCATATTTTTTTTTTTGACAATTTCTCTCAAATTAACCAAAGATATTGTGGGATTAACTTCAGTTAGAGCATCTAATCTGGGGTCGTCTAAACTAGGTATGTAACCAAATAGTAATTTATATGGAACTTGTCTAGTTGTCTTGTTTATAGAGGTGTTCAGATTCCATTGAACTTTTCCTAAACATTGGTCCCAACTTTTCTCTGTTTTCATCTCTGCTTGTATGACTGGTATAAGAGTCCTGTTTACTCTCTCAACCATTCCATTTCCTTGTGGGTGTCGAGGGGAATTAAATACTAACTTGATGCCCTTGGAGATGCAAACATCTTTGAAACTGGTGGCTGTGAAACAGGTTCCACGGTAACATACTATAGTGTTTGGAATGCCAAACTTAAAAATAAGGTCTTCCACTGCTCTTATTACACAAGTACTTTTGGTAATTCGAATAGGATATAAATTGACAAATCGTGTAAATGAGTCTATTACTACAAAAAGGTGCTGGTTTCCTCTGGATGATTTAATAAATGGACCAAGATTATCGATATGAATTCTGCTAAATGGTCTATTAGCTGGTGGAATTGGATTTAGCAACCCTAGTTGTTTACCTGAAGGTACTTTGTTAATTATACATTCCATACAACTTGAAATGTGTCTTCTTGTATAACTCTTTAATTTAGGAAACCAAAATTTCTCTAGAATTCTTGAAACAGTTCTGTCAACTCCAAAATGTCCAGTTAAATCGTGATTCTTTACAAGAATACTTTTTCTCATTGTACTAGGTATTACAAATAGTTTTCATTCTTCTCCGTTTATTTTTTTTAGTAACCATCAATCTTCCTGAGATTAGTTTATATTCTTTTGTCATATTTATTTCTTCTTTACTTCTTTCTCTGGAAGTTTTTGTTAATATATATATAATGGGTTTTAGTTTTTCATCACTTCTCTGGATCATAATAATTTGGGATTCTTCAGTTAGTGTAGTAAGAACTGTTAGTCTTTTATCTAGGAGTTGATCGTGTGTATCAGTTGATTCTTCTGCAGGTGCTCTGCTTAAAGCATCTATATGGGTCATTCGATCTCCTTTCCTAAATTCAAATGCATAGTCATACTCTTGTAGTGTACTAAACCAACGTGCAGTCTGGGGGTTGGTGATTTTATTATTGTTTAAAAATACGATCGCCTGACAATCTGTGACGATCTTAAATTTTATTCCGATGAGTAGGTTTCTAAGGCGTTCTACACTCCATATTACCGCTAATAATTCCAGTCTTGTAGAATGATATTTGCTTTCATGTTCGGTTAACTTTTTTGAAACACAATATACTAATCTATTTTTATCATTTTCGTCTTTTTGAAGAAGTATACCAGCTATTCCAATAGAACATGCGTCCGTGTGTAATTCGGTTCCGGCATTAAAATCTTATAATGTTAGTACGGGAGCTTGATGTTTTTGAGTTTTTCAAACGCGTCTCGACATTCGCGATTAAAATAAAAATCACAACCTTTTTTTGTTAAGTCCGTAAATGGTTTGGCAATTACTGCGTACTTTTCAATAAATCGGCGGAAAAACCCTGAAAGTCCTAAAAATCTGCGCACTTCATGTACGTTAGTAGGTTCTGGAAAATTTTGCATAGCTAAAAGTTTATTTGAGCCCGGTTTTAGTCCTTGTTCACACACTGTATCCGAGATATTCAATTTCCGTTTTACCGAAAACGCACTTTGTTGGATTAAGTGTCAACTTGGCACTCCGAAACGCTTCAAACACTAGTTTTAACCGTTCTAAAAGCTGATTCCAGTCTTTCGCGGGAACTATGACATCGTCCAAATAAGAACAACATATTTTATTTCGCAGTGGCCCTAATACAATGTTCATAAGACGCACAAATTCATACGGCGCATTAGTAAGCCCGAAAACCATTCGTTTATATTCGCCCGTAGTATCCGGGGTTATAAAGGCAGTCTTTTTGCTCGCGTTTTCTGTCAACGGCACTTGTAAATAACCATTTGCTAAGTCTAAACATGCAAGAATTTTACTACCCGATAAATACTGAAATTGCTCATCGAGATTAGACATTGGAAAATTCATAGGTACAGTTTGTTTATTTAGTTTTCTAAAATCTACTACTAATCGTGGATCACCATTTTTCTTGCATACTATTAGAACTGGAGATGCATATGGACTTGTAGTTTCAGTAACAATACCACAATCTTTTAAGTCCTCTACAATTTTTGCTATAGTCTCACGGTATGCAGATGAAACTTTGTATGGCTGATATCTAACGGGAACATTTGTATCAACTATATCCATTTTTGTTAAATCGGTGCAACCCAATTCGTTTAATTTTAAAGCAAAACAGTCCCGATATTCATTAAGTAAGTTAATCAAATTCTCGCTATTATCAATTGAAACATTACTAGCAATATTTACCATGTCTTTTATAAGCAGATTGTAACTAAATTCATTTTGATTTAAA